CGCCTTGATTCTGGACACCAATAGCGATCTGAACATTTACAAGGAAATGTGGCAAAGCGAAAAGGTCAACGAATCAGGCCCTACTAGCTCATGTTGCGATACGACGAGATCTAGACCGGCCGGGGAGATGAAGATGGCGGACGTGGATTTTAATCTCTGGACTGGTGAGTTCACTTACCAATTAAGCAGCGAGCGGTTCGGCGCTAACCACGTTCCGTTTGGCTTTTTACCTTAGGCTCGTTCAAGATATTCGCCATTAAGCCGGATACCCACGCTTGATGAAACCCTGTATCTCATAAAGCGCATAGATCTTCTGGTCTAACGCCGATAAACCATCTGAATTACATCTACCAGTCGAAGGATTCCCAGACAACTTTAGGTCAAACAAACTGCTTTTCCCGAATAGCTTGCATCTCTACTTCCTGTCTGCCTGCTGTAGTAATGGACGTGTTTATTAGGATCTGTATCCGCATATGAGAGCGAGGTTATCTATAACTTATGCAATAGCGGAAGCCGGGTGCGGTGAGACATCAAGATCACAATGCTTCGACAGCATTGAATGAGAAGACTACAAGATTTGTCATACTATTGCAAGATCTCCAATCGGAGATTGAGCTTCGTTGCGCATAGCAAGCCCTGCACCTCCTTTGACGTACATTCTAACTTGATAATTTCATTGTGCTCGGTCAGTCATTGTGCTCCAGCGACGTATCAGAGAGAACAGCAAGCAACTGATAATAATCAACCCTGCACCCCTCCCCGGGCACAAGGCTATTTCGGTACCCACTTCGGAGTCTCAGATGTAGGTTTCTGAGATCTGGCTTTCTTCGGACATAGCCAATCAAGAGCTCGCAGGCCTCTGAACAGGAGAGAGTATGTTGTGAGAAGAGATCTGAGGTGCCCAGATTACAGTCCATGGCGGGATATTCCGAGCTTGACAGTTGGGTCCCCTCTGAGGCGAAGCCGTTGTATGGCATCAGCCCCATTTGTGGGCAGTTCAGCGATTCCGAAAAGCGTACCGTACTTGTCGGTAGTTGCGTAGACATGTATAAAAATCGGTCATCAAGCGGGTGAAGGTCAGATAGGGAGGGATCTGATGTCATTGTATTTTCCTCTTGTGGGGGATCATCATTTCCAGGGACAGACTGGGTGCCACCTAGTCTGCTCATTGCCTGCGGCACCATTAGGGGTTTTTGTCCACTGTTATCTGAGGAATGGAAAGGTAGAACTAACGCCAGGCACTGAATTAGACGAGATGAGATATTCTGAAGAGACCAGCACATCTAAGCCAAGCTCAGATCCAGTCATCGGTCCGCAAGCCTCCCACGATGGTGCGAGAGGCTGTTCAAATGCCGAGTCCACCATGGATGTTACGGATTCCACGAAATACTTCAGCAGCTGGTTTTCGACCGAGAGAAGCTCTATCTTCTTTCGCAAGCCATCAATTTGAGTATTCTGCACCGTCTCGTAGAACTGCACTTTCTGTTCCAAGTCACGAACGTACTCCTGGCGGCGTGCGCGGCAATTCCGTTGATTGTTTCGCACTCGGGCAAGGTCCTCAGCCTAAAGACTGCGGTCAATCCTTTCGCGCCCTCACTCAACTCAAATTCGACAAAGGAAATACCTTGCTTTTTACTCTGATCTGTGGCATTTTGGTTGTGGTAGGCAAGGTACCTTTCTCGTGGTGTGGATTGTGCTGGCCGTCTGGGTTGTTATATAAGCATTCTATAAGCAGACCTCGGGAGTCCACGGGGTGGACTTTTTCAATAGCTTTGGTCCATTGTAGGTGCTGGATCACCCATCTGCTGCTTCGGCTGTGGGGTAGTTTCGCACTTTTCAATACATTACATGTATTTATTAGCCGCCCAAGTCACATCGAAATCTTTTTCACCCACCTCTTTTGACAGCATAACGTCACACATACCGCCGCCATGCACCTGGACAAGGAAATGTTGAAGGCCTATAGGACTTTTGAGTCTCTGGAAGTCAACCTAACACAGGAGGAAATTTGGGAGGTAATTTGTCTCATTGTTATTTTCGATATTTCCAAGAGCAGTACTGAATGATAACTGGATTTGTAGAACCAAGTGCTATACAAACAGGCAATGAATGGTGACAACGCAACACCTCAGCCTAGAGATCAGGATGTCCAGGTACTACCTCATATCTACCTTTTATGTCTTAGCACAGCTATAATACAATTTTGTCTAACACCGATCTAATAACTATAGGGAAGGGCTCGGTGGGACATATGGAATTCAAAGAAGGGAATGCCAAAGGAAGAGGCGAGAGAAACATTTTTAAGCAACGTTAAATCGATTGAGGCGAAATATAGTGAACGTGCGTAAAGTGAATATCCGCACGGGTATCTCGTGTCATACTGAAAGGGAGGAAATGCTTCCTTCTCGATGTGAATATAGGCCTAGGTAGCACTATCGGGGAACACCAGCCACACATCATCGTCGAGATCACACACTGAAGTCCTAGAAACTGGAAGATTTGTAGACTTGTATTGTCTTAGAAGTAACCTACAGTTTTATGAACATTGGGCGATCCTAAATGGACCCCAATTTCTTGCTATTCGGACAGCTCTAACCTTAATTAGGCCTGGGGTCATAGTTTTATTTTACTGAGCATCATTAGGTCACCTTCAATTCTTCTTAAGTCCTAGCCCTGAGTAAGCTGGTCGTGCAGGTAACTACACTAGTCCTAGTGTTGAGACCGGAGAGTTCGTTATAGCTCGTCTTGATAGAAGATCATATGTAATTGATTGTGTTTTACGAAAGAGTCTTTTAGCACAATAGGCTATATTAACGTACCTATAAGATGTTGTGTGCGATAGGTCTTCGGCATGTCACTGCAGATCCTTCGCATGGTATAGATAGGAAACCAAGCATAATGGGAACGGACAAAGTTAGCTTTGCCCAAAAGTGAAAATCGTATCACACGATAACCTAGAGATAGGTACGGGCAGCTAAATTGTAAAGTTCTTTTTTTTTTTTTTTTAGATCTGGCATTGATCCTGGATGCGAAGGGTACAATACACATGGTGGAATATGAAACAAACACTGCAAACATTCACCATTTTGTATGGCGATAATGAATTTCACCTGGACGCAATATATACAAATATCACTCCCTGTGGCAACATCTGCTACTCGGACTACTTGCTCCATTCATCTATCAAACATTCTTAACCTTGAGAAAGGCCCCTCGCTTGCATCTTTCAATTCTATCCGACGCGGGGCAGACCCACAACAGCAACTTCAGTTGAACAACTCCCCAAACAGATCTAGTGCAGACATCGTCGTAACATGGCAGCAACCGCACAAGGACATCAAGTCCACCCAGACGGTCGGACATGGAAAAGTCATTTCCCCAAAGGTGATCTCTGGGTATTCGGTTACGGGTGAGTTGTTTGACTCACAGTTAAATCTGGCGTCTTGACAAGTGCTCATCATGTATGTATAGGAGTTTGATCTGGAAGCCGCCACCACATTTTGGTATGTCAAACTGCTATCCAGCACTTTTTCCCATCTGAGGATTGGAAAGAAGGCTTCGTATTTGATGGCTTCGGGTCGGAGAATTAATCCGTTGATCTTATTTTGCAGACCAACGTGTTCCTGGGTATATCAGTGGCTATGTACGGCGGTTTTGGCAGGTGTGTTATCAGTGCATTGCTCGAGGGCTATGGCATGATATGGAATAGACTAACGGTATGACTCCTTGACCATGGAATTCAGGCTAGGTATGTCAATGGTCATAATCGGGCGTTCAATACCCGTGAACCCAGGCTATAAGAACATCCACTAATGCGAACAAAGTACCGACCACCGCGGCACTCCAGAGAGACCAGGTCGAGTAGTCACTGTGATCGAAAGAACGTTCTGGGAGACATTAGACGACCCGGTCAGTCCGAAGATTCCACTTACAGTATATAAAATCACCAAAACTGACTCCTCCTAACAGCTCGCACGCCAGGAGTCTGAATCAGAATCTACAGGCAAAGTCTGGGGCGCAGCATACCACATCCCAGCTTCACACGCCGAGGAAGTCCACGACTACCTAGACGAGCGGGAGATTGACGGCTACAGCGCGCACTACACGCCATTCCACCCAACCATCGACGTCGAAGGCGCGACCAGCTCATCGCCGATTATCTGTATGGTCTACATTGGCCAGCCGTCTAACCCGCAATTCCTGCGTGAGGCTGCTCGGCGGGAGCCGCAGGATGTGGCGCAGGTTATTAGTGCTGGTCATGGTCTTAGTGGGAAGAATACTGAATATTTGTATCTACTGGAGAAGGCGCTTGAGGGGCTTGGGCTGGGTACTGCTGATGTTCATGTCACGGATTTGGTGCGGCGGGTTAAGGCGATTGAGGCTGAGGGGCTGGGCGAGGCTGAGGAGAAGGCGGCTGAGCTTGAGGTTACCAAGTCACTGGAGGGGGCGGCTGAGGCGCCTGCTGAGGCGGATGGTCGGTCGACAATTGAATGAGGTCAGCATTATATAGATCGTTGGTTGACACGTTGATTTTGCATAGAGTAGCAGGCCAAGGAAGCACATAGACGAGATGGCTTGCTTCAAGGAGACCCTATTGCCCTGCATAATCTCGCTAGGTAGATTAAGATTATGTTCAATATCGGCGAACTCGTTGATCGTGCTCTCTGTCGGTTCTGTCGGAGAAAAGAATTTGCCATGAAACAAATGAACTGGCAAACATGGAACCACACTAGACTCATTCTGTGAAACGAGGAAATGACCACAAAGATCATGAACTTATACACATCGAGTAATCATATAGATGCACAAAGGTTGCTCGAGCGAGCTAGAATCCCGTATTTCCTCCATTGCATGCCAAGAGCGGGAAAGAGAAAAAGCAAACAAAAATGGACACCCTTAAGTTCGAAGTTCAAGGTGCATCGCGCTTGAGCCGTTGTAATTCGTGCCTTATTTTAGGAGGTGCGTGGATGAAGAGATAAGTCAAATGAATATTTGACCATCTACTGAGCATGATGGCCGTCTTGGGGTGCTTGCTCCGTGTTGTTGTTGCGCCACCCTTGACAAGTCAGTCACCCCGATGCTGCAACGATCCGTGAGGAAATTATTGCTCACCACCGCCGCCGCCATATCCAGTGTTGGGGCCGCCGCCTATGAAAAATTGTCAGTAAACAAAGGAACAATGGAAAAATCTGTAAACCGTACCGTAGCCACCGTGACCACCACCGCCGTATCCGGCGGGACCACTTTGGGGGTAATTGTTGTTGGTGTTGTTGTTGTTGTTGTTGTAACCACGGTTGTACCCACCCCCGTTATAGCCGCCGTTGTTGTACCCGCCAGCATTGTAGCCACCACCGCCCTGGTATCCAGATGGAGGTTGCGAATTATATCCACCACGACCCTGGAAGCCACCTTCGGGGCGTTGGGGTCGGTCAAAGGCTTTGTCAACACGAATAGTACGTCCATCGAATCTATCAACTGTCAGAACTCTGCGCTTATAGTGAAAATGAGATAGAATCCTAGTCTTACTCCTGATTGTTCATCGCATTCATTGCGGCCTCTGCATCAGCCTCATTGGCAAATCGAACAAAGCCAAATCCACGACTGCGCAAAGTCGCGCGGTCTTTCACGACGATCTGTAGGCGGCGGGGTCAGTTGAAACTTATGGCTGATGAGCGGAGAAAATGAGAACTCACAGCCTCTTGGATCTCACCAAACTGCTGAAATCCTTCTCGCAAAGCCTCATCGTTTGTGTGCCAGGAAAGGCCGCTGAATAATTGTTAAACTTGCTATGGCGAGCACATGCTGGCTCTTGTGACAAAGAACACGTACTGGATGAAGAGCTTAGACATGATGGTGATTTTTTATGGAATATGGATCAGAAGTCACGCTTGGACAGTATCAGTCCAAAGGCAAAGATGAAAGGTGAAAAGCAGAGATGATCCACGAGAGGTCGTGGTCAAAAGTCAAAAGTCGTCGGGGTTGTGAATTGATTGGGAGATCCTAGTGGTTGCCAGGCGAGTCAGCAGTCCCGTGTAACAATCACACTGCGTTAGGGCTTCCACATATCTGGGTCTTTTGCACACCAATGGCAGGTGTGCACCGCGCAATATGTTGCTTACTGTGTCTTTGTCCGTGAGCTTTTCCTTCGGGTGAAAGTCCGACTCTAGCCAACGGGAAGAGAAGTCAAAGTGGGGGGATGCTGCAAAGATAACTCCCCCTCCACCCTCAAGCTGCTAGTCCCGCTGGCTTGAACCTTCAGCTGATTGATTTGCGGGTCCCTCGGGCTATCCTCGAAGTGTGCAGTCAACCAGTCAATCAGAGGATTCCCGAGGCTCCGTTTCACTGATGGATTGACGCACTAAAAGAAAACGGCTGATGTGAACTTTGACTTCCCCTCATTCCACTCTACTGTTCGTGGACAAGGAGATGGATTTTGTAGGTCCGGATCGACAACCACTGAATTCTGTTTAAGCCTCGTACATCTTAAACATCTCTCACAAAACGAGAGATAAGCCGCCCCTTGTGCCAAGGTATCCAGCTCGGGCTGAGCGGGGTCTCCGTGCACCATAATACTTTGGCAGGTCTCCAGTACCTCACAGGTGCATCATTGGCTATATGCATGCTTATTCAACATTTCCTTCTTATTCAGGACCCCACTGCAAAAGGCTGATGATCTGGCCAGCATGCGGGCTCAATCATGCATTGAGTACATGAGCCTGGCCCTGTCAGCTTTGGCTATGATCATCGTGGAAGTTGTATATGTGCATCCGGTCAGAGGGGCAGTGCCCTGTGGGTCCACATGCGGCTTGGGCCGTGAATGTCGGAAGTCTTCCGACATATGGCGATCTGCATGTGGAAGTCTATAGACTGTCAGCAGCTGTTTTTGGACTGGTGGCCTTGAGCCCTAGGACATCACGGTCGAGTTGGGATGCCTCAGGCATATACCAGCTCTTCACATGAAAATGGAACGATGGCTGAGCTATGAATGATGGAAGATGGACGTTGGATTATGGAAGTGGGAGGATGAGAGGGATATCTTTTTGGTCGTGCTTTCTTCGGCGGTGACCCTCCCCCTCTATCTCAACTACCAACTTCATACTTCCAATCTTTTTCGAATGTCCAAGACCCATTCCAATGGCGAAGACCGCCTCCATGGAGGATGATCGAGGGCCAATTTATCAGTGGCTTTCTACAGTGCAAGATCAGGATCAATGTGGCCACCGGAATACAGCTGGTGGGCGATTTCGTTCAAATAGTGAAGCACTCACTAACAAAATACCAGAGAAGAAACAGCAGGAGGCGGGTGCAGCAGTAATGACAGGCATTCCTCTCATACCATTGGAATCACCCGAAGCCTTGCGTGGGATACGTCGTTCGACACGCAAAAAACGGAGTGTTGGTCATCTTGATCAATCCAGAACATCCCCTACTCCACAAAGCCCCACACGAGATGACGGTCGCAGCAAGAGAGCACGGCATAGCTATGAGCGACAGCCCAGACACAAGACCCGCGATGACCATTACGAGTACAAAGCGCCATCAGCTGCAGAGTCTCGACCACACGCTTGCAAAGGCAAGGCCAAGAATGTACGTGGCAGAAAGCATACTTTGAATGATTTCCAGGCTGTCAATGTCACTGGAAATAGATTGACGGTGTGTACAAACTTGCCGTCTGTCTAGTTTGATTAAATCTGACTTGTGCCAAATCAGATTCCCAATCAAGCCAATTTGGGCATCTTCAACAAGGGAAAGACATCTTCAGCAGCTGAACACCCCGCAAATCGAACTTCGGTTGATATCTCGAGAGATGTTCCCAGGAAGAGACCTAAGAGGAACGCAGCAGAGTCTGACTTGGCTTTTTCCGAAATGAACTTCTTATCACGGAGAAAAAACATCAGCCCGGGGCCAACGTTAGAAGCCCCTGAGGATACTCCGTGTGTGCAACATGCGGAACGGAGTCAATTGAATACGTTGTTATATTCACATTCAAAGGATCTATCGAAGAATGCTTCGGTACAGGCCAGCAAATCATTTCTCGGCTTACGGCAACAAGTCGACGTCTCTCCCACCCCTCTGTCCTCGTTTGCCGATACCCTCGATGACCTTCATCTGCAACAATACCTGCTCGAACTTCTGCACACTGGCTTGGACCCAAAATCTGTCTCTAGTGTTGCCCCTGATAAACTCGCAACTTTCAGGCATTGGAGCCTCTCCGAGCTTTGGACGCTTTTGGAAGAGCGAAAAGCATATTGGTCGACAGAGACTGACAACAAGCAGCAATCGTCGCCCAGACCCAAATCAAGGGACGAAGGCACTGTGAGGCAAGCAGTACACTCATTCCATAAAGCTATTACACCACACCAACTGGGGTTTGTTTGTGCTGATACCAACGAGAGATTTCAGGCGTATCCAAATCCAAGAGACGCATCTGAACCTTCCTCTGGAGTGCATAGCGATTCATTTGAACTACGGGGCTCAGTTTTCAAAAGGAAGAAGACTGAGCAACATCAAACACAAGAGCAATGTGCCCTTGCCTTTTCATTGCAGGCTATCGACGACTGCAAAACCTCGGATGTCTTGATGGAAAACCGCCTAAGCCTGCCTCTGGCTCTTGAGTTAACAAATGAGCATCTCTCTACGTTTTCACAGGATGACTTGTCAACAAATGCGCCTGTTTTTGAGCTGGATAAATTGAACCGCTTCGCAGATGACGACTTGTTCTATGAATCACTGGACGCTGCTTACCACTCCATCCTCCACCCTGAAACTGCAGGACAAGAATTTGTCCAGGATGAACTCGAGCTGGCCATCCTCTTCGGCTCATCAAGATTCAATGAACCTGTTGATTTATTTGGTACTCCCAAATCAGCGCAACGTAGGAGCAGTGCGATCCCTGTTCAAGTTGTGAAGACAGAACAAATACCTCAGCCACCCCTCGCTCAAAACATCAAGCAGGACGGAGTTGGCACAGGACTGTTAGGAGTCAACCATCAAAATGAGCTGCCTCAAAACGATGGAGGCTTTGATCAAAACAGATTTTTGCCCTGGTTGACTGGATACAACAGTTCGCAACCGCACGTCCCGACTTCGCGCACATTGGATCGAAATCAAGGCTCGGCTTTATTTGGCTTTTGGCGGCAGAACAAATTGTATTAACCCTGCATGTACTTGAAATAAAAATATTGGTTCTTGTGGCTGAGATCATGCATCGCAAGCATCAAGCCCTGTGAGTTTCTGGGAGGCACGAGGACTGGTTCTATGATTCCATGATATAGTTCCATTCAATCGACATGGCGGTCACGTTCCAATCATATGAGTATCCTTTAGTTAAGCAACTTTCTATCACAAATCAGCCGCATCTATCCCTCTACTGTAGTCATATAGAGGTGGTTCCGCATGCTAAACCGGGTTTCTTCATTCTGCTCACTTACCAGGTTTACCGTGATGTGGATACTTGGCTATGCGCGATACTCTGTGTACGACAAACTACTGTGGATGTGATTGATTCGGCTGTGTCCTTTTTGTGGTGGGTAGATCGCATAGAGTAAGTTAGAATCAAAATCCATCTTCGCGCAATGCTTCTACGGGAGACGGTATAAAGTGAATTTATCTCGATGAGCGTTGAATTGATTGGGTATAAAGTAGCCTTAGATGACAGGAGATCAGACACATCATCGGATGGACGGCTTCCAAATTCTTGAGATATTCAAGATATGGACATGGCCCGTCTATGTATCCCACCATTAATGATCCTAGATGTAGTCCCGGAATTCATTTCCGCGCCGTGTAAAACTACCGGAGATCCATATGTGAGTTGACATTTGTTGCGGAGAGAGGGAATTCTATGCCGGCCGTTCTGTTTGTTGGTATGTTGGAGGGTCCACGAAAATAAGTCGGGCCGGTTTTGGAAAGAAGGTTGAACGCTGGAAGCTGAGGGTCGAATATGCGGCAGCAAAGAAGCAAGATGCAAAGGTTGAAGGTGAAACTATTGGTATGGAGATCATAGAGTGGCAGCCGCCTCGATGACACCCGCTGCCTTGAAGGCAGCTGGGTTCTTTATTACCACCTCAACCGGGTATTTCCATTGCATAAATCGCGTCCAACCTAGAAGCCAATCAGTCAGTATGAGCTGCTACAAGTCCAATATTGCCGCTCAGTTCCACGTACTCCAATATGCGCATCGTCGCCCTAGGTATTTCCCGATAAAAGGTACCAGGACCATGCTCAGAAGCAGCTCCAGTTGCTCAATACTTTCTTGCCATTCTGCCTCGGCATCGGAGAAGTCATCGGATAGAGTATCGAGGTCGGAGTCGGTTGTAGATTCGGAAGGAAGAGAGGCAATCTCATCGTCCGACTCGGAGTATGAGTTCTGCCTGGAGGGGACCATGTATGCGGACATCGAGAACGAGGGATTCGATCCGGCTGGAGAAGGTGAGGACATCGGAGCGAATTCTGATATTAGATCTGAAAGGGAAAAGGAGAGGAAGACTGATCAAGCAGTGGCCTGCCTACTGCTGTGTAAATGAGACGATCGGCAGTGCCTTGCTCGACTGTTGACCTCCGGTTGCACGTGACCTGACTCATAGTCACGTGCCCGATAACGCATCGCCTCAGTATCAATTTCAGCGAGTTTGCCTCTATAGAACCTCAAGCTATTCGAATATCCAATCCTCAAGTTGCTCTACAGTGTGTGGTGGAGTGAATTGAACCTTTGAAGCCCAAAAGTATGGCGGACGCCGTAAGTCACACTTCTTTTGTCTTTTTGCCGACCCTCCCACATTTTCTTTGAGTCTGCACAATATCGACCCCTCCGTCACCGTTCAGAGAACCCACCCCTTTGCGCCTAGAGATCCAGTCTGGTATTTTTTGCTTGAAAAATCCAGAGCAGACTCTTCCTCGTTTCTCTACATTTTTCACAGAACTAACACCGCTTCTTGCTCCTCCGCCAGGAAATCGAAACTAAGCAACGCAAGTCGGTCGCATTCAGCGAAGGATCGGTCATCATGGATACCAACGGTCAAGTCACAGACGCCCCTCCGGCCGAGAAGCCAGCCGGTACGCAGCAACTCCCCGATCTCGTTTCCAGTTGCCTTGGTTCACACCCCACTAACATACAACACAATGCAGACAAGGAAGTCGACGAGGTGACCGACATGTTCAAGGGTCTCTCAAAAAAGAAGAAGACAAAGAAGTCTAAGACCGCCGATGGTGAGGACGGAGAGGCCCCCGCGGCCGAGGGCGAGTTCGACCCATCCACCATGAAGAAAAAGAAGAAGAGCTCCTCCAAGTCCAAGTCCAAGGTCGACCCCGATGACTTCGATGCCAAGCTCGCCGAGGCCGGTATCACAGAGGATGCTGGTGAGGAACAGCCCGAGGAAATCCCCGAGGGTGACCGTGAGGCCGGCACTGGCATCTGGCAACATGACGCAACACAAGCCATCCCCTACTCGCTCCTCATTTCGCGCTTCTTCTCCCTCATCGAGAGCCACCACCCCGACCTCCTGTCCAGCGGCTCCAAGTCCTACAAGATTCCTCCTCCCCAGTGTCTGCGTGAAGGAAACCGTCGTACCGTCTTCGCCAACATTGCCGAGATCTGCAAGCGTATGAAGCGTTCCGAGGACCACGTCACGCAGTTCCTGTTCGCCGAATTGGGTACAAGCGGTAGTGTCGACGGTAGCCGTCGTCTCGTCATTAAGGGTCGATTCCAACAGAAGGGTATCGAGTCTGTTCTCCGTCGTTACATTGGTATGTTTCCCTGCTCCAAATCGCGTCTACGATCCCGTGCTAACATCTACATAGTTGAATACGTTACCTGCAAGACCTGCCGCAGCCCCGACACCGAACTCAGCAAGGGTGAGAACCGTCTGTACTTCGTCACTTGCAACTCTTGTGGATCTCGCCGTTCCGTCGCCGCTATCAAGGCCGGTTTCCGTTCCCAGATTGGCCGCAGAAAGCGTGTGGGTTAAACGACCCATGGAGCTTTCTGGCATTTCGCGGAGGAAGGATTTGTTATTATCTATTCTTTATGCGTGTCACTTACTAGTACTTTGGCGGAAGAGAACAGAGCTCCGGCACTGGAACTTTGCCGCTGGGGTTTGAGATGAGGAAACGATTTCAAGGATAGAAAAGGTTTAAAATGAAATGGACTGATATCACTACATGTTTTCTTCACTGGCTGTTTGGCTTTGCATATGATCTCCGGTACTTTGTGGATAATAGTTCTAACTATATGACCTGCCTTCAATCGTAAAGACAATGTCAACTTTCGATACAAACGAAGATCTAGGATCGAGACTCCATGATCATCGTGATGGCAATATTGCACCCGCTCTCAGCAATCGCAAACATGGAAGGTTCCACTTGTAATAGGCACAAATTAGACCTGGTTTGCAAGATACCTATGCGTTCAAGTGGGTGACATACGGCAAGCGGAGTGTTGGTTAGACGAAGATGTAACTAGGGGAATTAGCATTTTTACTTATACCGGGAGGGTTGGAGGATAGAAGCACCATAAAAGAAGGAAAAGTTTCACATGGAATGAAATAGTATATATAGCAATCGCATCTGCCTGTTACTTGGACAAATTGGTATAACATGGAGACCTGCTCGCGATGGTACAATGGTAGTTGCGCTTGATGCATTGATAACAACAAAGTCATAGTGCCAGATTCCAATCTGAAAGGCACGCCATACGTCATAATCAGCCACTGGCGGTACTGATCTTCATCTGGGTAGCAAAGGCGTTCAAGTTCCTTGTTTGCAGATAAACAGTCCCAGGTCCTTCAAACTTGCAAGCAAGACCCTCACCAGTACCGTAACCGGAGATGATACCACCAGAAGCGACACGCTCGATCTTGTATTTGCAGTTCCATGCAACAAGGTGACCATTGTCGATGTAGTATTTTTCTCCTTCCACAAGCTGAACACCGAGGTACATTAGTAAGAGGACCCAGTTTGTCGGGGAATAGTCTATACATACATCCTTTTTGATGATGGCCCCGAAACTCTGCAACCAAAGAAGACCGGTTCCCTCAATCTTGTAGATGAAAAGCCCTTCACCGGAGAAGATAGCCTTTGAGAGACTTTGGGCTTTATACTCATGATCAACACCACTGGTACAGGCGACAAAAGCATCTCTACCGATCTTCCACTTCGTCGTGCCATCCAACCGAAGGACAATGAGGTCACCAAGTACAGAGGGAGCAAGGAGAAGCTCGCCCGGTCCAGTGTACTTCGACATGGACATCTCACCACCTGCAATTAGCTTTTTCCACCCAATTGAGATAGATCCCCTCAGTGTCATGGTAGTGGACATGGCAATCATCACACCTATAAAGCGTCAGAAGGTGTCAATACATGTAGGCTAACGAGCTCAACACATCTGTGTCGCATCCACTTCACTATCGGGCTTGCTCTTACCTGGTCTTGCAGTAAGAGGACAACCCATGGCGAGCTGTAATGTCAAAAGAGAGTTGGAGTCCCGGTGGCTGATTCTGTAACTGCCTCCGTTGAAGGTTCCAACGTCGTCCTCGTAGGTTGCTTTAGCTCCCATGAACTCCCCAGGTGGAGGTGCGCCTCCCGAGACCTTTTCCGTCATCCCCCTCGGGTGGGATTGAGATGATATCGAAAGTCGGCCCAACCCATTTTGATTAGGGAAGTCACTAGGTGGTGGGCTGAATGCGGGTGGGGTACTTGAGGGAGGGGGAGGATATGTTTGCGAAATTCCCGCTTGGATCAGTGGCGGACTTGTGCTAGGTGGACTAATAGAAGATGGCGGGAGTGGATAACCTCCATTTGAAGGAGTTCCTTGTTTTGGCGGTGGCGGATAGCTGAAGTTTGGAGGTGCATAACCGGGGTGTTGTTGTTGGGATTGTTGAAACGCTGAGATCATGAGTACTTAGAGCCATTAGTTAGAGACGGAAACTTACTTGTCACATGTGCCGGGGCTATAGATTCAAAGAAGTTAGTGCTGGGAATTGATTTGCAAATTGTATAGATCGACCTACCCGACATTGGGGGAGGAGCAAATTGGTTTGGTTGCGACATAGTGATTGGGTTGAAGGCCGACTATTCCAAGTAGAAGAACGCCTGGGTCTGCTAACACGGATACTTTCCCCGGTAAGAATAGCTTCAATTCCAGTTGCAGCTGAAAACACTCACGGTATTGGTCACAAATGCTGCGGGGTAGGGCAAGCCAAGCAACAATTGGTGTTTCAAACTAGGCAATGCAAAATGTCTTGTCGGATCAGTAGACAATCTGTGAGCGCTTGACTAGAGGTGGATTTGGAGTAGACAAGACGAAATTTGCAAAACGAGGGGGGTTATGGACCATCCTCCTTTTTAAAGAAATCATAGCTCCTCCGCACCAAGAGCTCCCTGGCTATTATTGGAGCTAAACGGGCTTGGGCTGATCAGCCAAGTAGTCAGCTGAGTGAAAGGCCTCTCACATTGGCTGTCGATCAGCTGCTCCCGAATCACAATTGACTACTGCACGATTATCCCATCCGGGCGCTTAGGCGTTGGTTGCACTTGCACAACTTGAGGGAGGGTCCACCAAAGTAAAGCGCAGTTAGCGATCACCATTGGCCACATTCATCACTACTGAACTGCACAACCTTTATGGCCGTTTTTCGCTAATGCCCCTTTCGAAAATGCCACTAACGCTAATCTTGCTCCAATGATGTCGTCCGGAACGTTGGCATGATTTAAGAATAGTAACACTGATGGATATGATATCCTCTAAAATCCCTCGCGGTGCGAATTAACCTATAATATGCATGTAAACATATTGTACAGGGTACCTGCATGCAAAGCTACATATAATTTAAGTACAGTATGTCTACCAAATCCCGTGGTCACATAATAAACTGTTATTGTGAGGTAGAACGAAAAACATAACTATACAATGAGGATTTAGCTTTGCATCGCTGCTTCTAAGAGAACGATAGCCTCCGTACAACCATGGATACGAGCTAAATCCAGAGCAGTGCGTCCGCCATAGTCTTGAAGCTTTGTATCAGCCCCAGCCGCTAATAACAGGCGAACAATCTCGATCGACGGCTCAGTTGATGCTAACATCACAGGGGTTTGGCCTTGATCATTCTGGGTATTCAACTTTGCCCCATTTTGTATAAGTAAGTCCACCATCTGGATATGCTGGTTGAGGACTGCGGAGTAAAGCGGCGAAATGTACCCCAGACCGATCGTATTGATGTCGGCGCCACGCCCAAGAAGAAGACTAACGGTCTCTAGTCTTTGCTCAACAGTCGCCCACCATAGTGCTGAGTACTTTCCCTTTCCTAGGCAGTCAATCTCTGCTCCATGGTCCAGGAGAAGGCTGATGGTGTCATTATGTCCTTGTTCAGCAGCGACCTCTAAAGGTCCCATCTTGTTTGTTTTGGACTTCCCATTGATAGAAGCTCCATTTGCCAACATCATTTGAATACCTGTCAAGTCCTGATCAAGAACGAGTTTTATCATGACCGAGTGGTGCTCGAAGTTCTCTGCTTCGATGTCGGCACCACGTCGGCAGAGAACTTGAATCGCCCATTCAGAATGGTTCTTTGCGGCGAACAAATAAGCAGCGTGGGCCAAGGATGGGAGATCCTTGCTCATTTCTGTCCATTTAACCAAGAACCAGTACAGAAGAGCATGATTTTGGTTGGAGAGGGCCCATTTAAACGCCAGCTCATCGTCGTATCCAGGAACATCCCGATCAATCTCAATATCCATGGTGGTATAAGTTAACCATTGTTGCAAAGTGCGAATGCTTCTTTCTGTATCGCTATCCTGTAGGCCAGCTCCACAAGAAGGAGACAAGTGCTCAGACGCACCCAAAGCCTCGAAATATGGCTGCATCCAGTTTGAGGCTAATACATTTCTGGATGCATGCCATGCAATCCACCCAAGCTGTTTAGAAAAAGACTTCCACCACTCCTCGTGGTTTGTGGAGTTCATCCAGCCAACAGGACGCCTGGTTCCTTTGGACTGGAAGAACTGAGCCCTCAAGTCAGAGCGTAACAGCTCGCACATATGTTTGGACCCTTCATGGCGGCCATTCTCGTCTCCTTCAAGTATAGCCTGGCAACAAAGGTATCCAAGCTCGTAAACAGACCGCTCAAACTCATTCGAATTTGATCTTTGGCAAAGCCAGGACACTAGGTTCAGAGCATCTTTCCACTTTCCATTGCCGATGTATTCTGTTGTACGCTTTCGAACATTGATCGAATCCCCGGCAAGCTCTGGCAGAAGACCACGACTATTCAAAGTTGGAACAATGCAGAGCAATGCTTCTTCGCGTGTGCCCAAATCGCAGGTCTCAATACACTGTACTAACTCGTTGATTCGACTGTTTTGAGCCAGGAAAGAGGAGTTAGGTCCAGGGACGATATCGACATCCCCACCAAGCTGTTTGAAATGACCAAAGACTTGTCCCAAAAATCGGATATAGATATCCTGTGCGGCCATCATCTCCAGATTGCTGTCTACTCTGACTGCGAGAGTATCCGTGTCATAGCTATGCTTGCTTGACGCAAACCCGAACAGTTGAGATGAAAAGTCCATCATCCCGGAGTTAACCATTGTGGCCTCCGTCTGACGAAATATCCACTTCTGGAAGTAAAGATCTGTTTCTTCTTTCTGTGCATCATCCTTTCCAAGTCCGACCAGACGGTGAAGTTTGAAGTCGGGGGTGTTGTCATTTGCCTTTTGTATTGACCAAACCCACAGCCCCAGAATGGCTTCAAGTTCATTTACATCAATCCTCCATCGCAGGGTATCACTGCCTCGAAGTAGAATCGTGCAATATGACTCGATCACAGGGTCAGAACTCTGCGATGATGTTCTGCATTCGGCGAGAAGGTTGAAGATGAACGTCTTCCCTAGATCGATTTCCCAACTCGTAGTCATCAAATCCATTGTCATTTCGATTGCCCTTGCGAGATTCTGAGCGACCTGGCGGATAGGCATATCATCCCAAGCAACAGTCAGTCCCTGGTTCGAGCTAGACGTGAGCTCCGCCAGTCTAGCTCTCGTATGAATCAAATGTTTTGCCAGGGACAAACTTGGATGAGAGACGTATCCGGGTGATGATAGTGTTGTCGGTCTGTCTGGAAGCAAGCGCAAATGGAACGAGTCAACATTTTCAAGATGGAATGCAAAACAATCCAGCTCCTGTTGTGTGGACGATAAGAGTTTCTGTTCGTCTCGGAATTCGTTCTCTTCTGGTGCCATTCTCTCCGTCCGGAGAATTGTTCGTACAATGGCCATCAAGAACGTCGATCCTAGCTGGGCTAAGATAACGGAGGCGTGGAGACCTCTCAGTCCAACGAACTGGAATATGAACCCCAGAAGCGTCGATGCTAGAGTTGAGTATATTTGGAGATATTTCCTGTGGAACCTGTAGTCCCTGACAGACTTGATATAAGAAAGGTTCTCGGTCGCAGAGGGCCCTCCGTATTCTTTGGTCGTCAGAAACGCCTTGAAGACTTGATCGTCTGCGTGCTGTTTTCCAGGCTGTAGCCAGTATATTTTGCTTGGCTTTTTGGGTTGCAAGTAGTATTCCTTTGATGATCGCTCCATAATAAAGGCGCAGAAGAACATCCCAATAAACAATAGTGTTGACCCGATAACATAGAATGGGAATGCATATGATGCTACCGGTTTATCATCCTTCTGGAAGGTTTCCGGCCACATGAATACCGTGAGTGCAGCGAACATAATGGACCCTATAGTATATTTGATCAATACATTACCAAAATTAGTTTCAAACAGTGAATCACCAACCTAATTGCAATGCAGTCCCAAGAAGAGCAGCGCAATAAAACCAAAACTGGTCTCTCCTCTTGATGCCCTTATTCAACGACAGATTCGGTATATCTAGCTCAGGAAGCTGACTAGGTGAAAGTTTGCCTGCGCAAGTCCAAGACTTCTCCACGAGAGCTTCCTTCAATGTGCCAACCTTCATCTTTTTCTCTCCAAGCTTAGGGTCACCGTCTTCCCAAACGACTATCTCCACGATCTTGGGCCGGCCAAAGACTCGTGTGATTCCGCCATCGTTGAAGAGCTCGGAGGTCGACTCCGAGACGCAGGGGAGGAGTTCACATTCCGCTTCGGCGGGACCTTCCTGTGCTCGTCCCACAAAAGCTCGAAGAGATGAGCTGCCGCAGATCCTGATCACTGATACCACGGCAGTCAAGACTCCCAGCGGCGAAAGGGCGAAGATGACATTGTCTAATATACTAATCGACTCGGAAAGGAATTGTTTCGTAAGTCGTTCACCGAATAGAGTAATCAACGGTGCCTTGCTCAAACGTTAGCATATATACCCAATCCAAATCCCTATCTCGACACTTAAAACATACCAAATCCGTAGCAAGATTATTCGTAAAATCATCCCAATTATCAGCCGCAACAAAAGGCACAAATACGAATAAAAGAAACAGCGTAGAAAGCATCATAACTCAACAATTCATAATAAACACACACAAAACTCTCGAACAACCGTGCCGACCCATGCCCTCTTAAGACATCCAAAATTACAATCCATTCCCCACTCGCCGATCCGCCCTGGGGGGCTTAGTATAGCCTCAGAGCCATAAGCGTATACAAACGCCCCCCATGGCAAGAATGCAGCTAATAATATTCAGAGCACGGCTCTACACTGTGACTCTGAAACCGCTAAGGTACGTAGTGCATATGTGTAAGCGCTGCGCTGGGCGATTATACCCAGCTTGTCGGTGTTATCGCTGCACTAAATGCGGCCCGCATTGCGCTATAGCCCGGACTGCGGGGTCTGGAGCGGTTCTTTTTGCTTTGGCGCGTATCATATATGGTCGTTGGGGGAGGGTGCTTTGCTGGCGTGCGAATGATCGGGTTTGGCTTGCTATTGGACATCTTGAGCTGGTTTGTGTTGTGGGGGCTTTGATTTAGGTCGCTGAGCTGAGGCTAAGTTGATGGGCGTCCTTGTCGATAGGATAAAATGCTTAGGTACATGCGAGGTGCTTGTCGTTGATCTGCGGAAATCGCGGCTATAAATTTCTATATTGTCTGCCTGCTAATTGAGATACCTATTGAAATACCTAGCGATACGGGCAATGATCAGATAATGGACACTGCTACTGCTTATGCAAAGGTGAATCTTCCGAGAAAGACGCTTAAGGTCTATGTTCAATTTGAGACGAGACTGAACTATGCAGCTCCCCCGCCAGGGCAGATGTCATGAAGGGCTAATTAGATCATGTGGACTCTGTGGGAATCCCGAAATCCTGAGCGATCAGCTTGCCAATAGGCTCTGTCGAATGAGCTCAGTGAGACCATCTGAAGCAAAAAGCCAAGCCACCAACGCCATATCAATGAGAGTAAAACATGAAGCAGACTACCCGGCAAAATATACGGGTCTGAAACTTAGAAAATGCTGTTCACGATGTTGGAACCGACGGTAGCACCGGCACCGAAGATGGCGGCATTGCCAAGTTTCTTTCCGAACTTCTTGCCGCCTTGCTCAAACTTGTTCTGTTTGGGATCCTCGGGGTTGGCGGGCTGACCACTCTGGCTAACTTCAAGGGGCATGTTTCCATAGTTGGTCGGAGGGAGGGCCGAAGAGAGGTTACCCTTCTCGTTGACGATGTTCACATAGCTTCGGGGGAAGATACCCTCCTGGCCAGTGCGCTCGTTGCGACCACGCCACCCTATAGAGCAATTAGTTTCCATTCCAAGATCGAATATAAGGGTCATATCATACAGTCGTCATTCATGTGCTCAATAATCTGAATACGGTCTTGCGGCTGCAGGGCCAGGTCACCGGGATCGGTAGGTGTGTATGCGTACATGGCCGATGCGAGCCCGAGGATCGGCGGGACTTGGGGATAGGCAGGCGGGGCTTGAGGAGGTGGGCTTGCATATTGGTTCTGAGGCGGCGGGCTTGCGTATTGGTTGTGCATTGCGGCTTTTTCGTGGACGGACGCATTGGCCATTTGTTGGGTAGGCGGCGAGTAGGATGGTGTGTATGGGGCTGGAGGAGGCTGTGCCTGAACTGGCTGGACGGGAACTGGCTGCGCCAGCTGCCGGGGAGGCGATGGTGATGCCTGCACTGCCTGGCTGGGAGCATGTGTCTCGGAATCGGGGGGAAGTTGTGAGAGAATGGAGGAGAGCTGTCGGGGAGTGATCACAGAGGCATCGGCAAGGAATTCCAGTTCCTAGTTGTGTAGGTTAGTACCTGGGACATTTGTCAGGAACCAAACATGGGATGCATACTGTCCGGACCATGCGGAGCGACCGGGTGGTCATGGCAGACGCGAACTCGCTAGAGGCCGCCATGACGGATGGCAAGCGGTAGAGTATTGAGATGTATGGGAAAGGAAGATGAGTTATTTGCAAGAAGAGGGCGAGATAACGTTATGTGTAGGTAAGTGAAGGAGAATAAGGAGAGAAAGCCGGCAGTCTGGAGGTGCGGAGTCCAATGTCTCATTCGCCCTTGAGGCCAAGATTCCAACGCCGCTACAATTTGATAACAAGCAATCAACCCCTATCATTTGTAGATGCGATCCTGCTTATATTTTCATCTGAATATGTTCTCCAATTTTAGTTCTTTTTTTTCAATTTTTTTTTTACAGCCAAACGCATGTCTCTACATGTTAAGAAACAACATCATCCTCGCCGTAGAGCTCTCTGTCCTGGGATATATTCCCGGCAAAACCAGTCAGGCTAGTTCTGCTGCCCCTTTATGTCTAAAACTGTCAGATCCATTCACGTTTATTTGACTGTTGCCTGAAATGGCCCATTTGTATAGTCTTGTTGCCCAGGCCTTGGCATCAGTCAACTTGCAACTCAGCAAGGCAGACTGGGGGCTTCAACGTAGGCGAAGCGTACTAAATCAAGTCAAGACATTTGAGAATGAGAAAATAATCTACTCGGTAGGTCTTTATACTAGTACTATATAGTTATTAGCTTTAAATATAAAGTATAGTTCTATACTGTTGTAATATGTGATAACTTAAGAGATACGATTGAACATGTATAGCAATAGGTCAGCAACGAGATGATTTAAGTTATATCTACCCCTAAGAAGGAAATTCTTTTATAACTATTTATAGTAGGAGATATATTAAGCGAGGGTGTAGCAGATCCCGGTTCAGGAGGATCCTAGCCAGCACGCGGTATGATACTCGTGAACTATAATCACAGAGTATAGTAGGTAATCCTCCAGTGTCTACCAGCAGCATTCCTGTGAACCCTCAATTGATGCTTAGCGTACTCATCAAGTGATCTTTTACCTTAAGCATCGTTAACCTAGACCGGGCAGGTCCCGGAAAACCCGATCAGGCACCTCACACCATTGGGCATTTTGGGATGACGTGTGGACGAAATTAGGCGAGCAAGCATGTTTTCAGGGATTTCACTTTCGTTTCTGCCAACATCTCCATCATCGATATAGCACATGTAAAGGGTGATCGAACTTTGCGTCGCGCTTGAAAGCGTGGGAAGAGTCATCAAGAAGGGAATTCCGGTTTGGAAAGATTGTGAAATGGACTTTGCACAATATGAAAGACGGCCATTGTTAACATGGATGACGGCGCTGTGAAGGGTAGAAAATCTGAGTTGGATGTGAAAATATGGAAATTGAACTCTCCTTGCAAGGCATTCTTGTGGGAGATGGAGGATGAGAATGAAGAGAAGGGTGGACATTTTGAGGTAACTTATATCAAACTAACTACTTCTCGCAAGGCTCCGAACTAGAAAAAGGCCCACTCGGACCATTCATGTCTAATGCATCTCTCACAATCTGAAGTCCGTCTCTGCAATTCATGACTCAATATGTCGGGAGCTGGCTTTGATCCTGAACTATCAGCTGAAATACACAATAAGATACTCGAACATGCATAGACTGGCGCTGGTTGAGAAGTCGCTTCTCTCCCCTCGACAGTCGATTCTTACTCCCGTCCGAGGTCGGTCGTACTGGCTACGCACGAGGTAGCAATGAAGTCTTGCTAAATGAGTGTGGAGTTGATAAGATGTATGGTAAGCTCTATCGGGATCATCAACCTAGTGGTATTTTGCCATGGGGCTCGCATAGTCCATACATTTACAAAGTATTAGTGAACTAGGCGGAGCGTGTAGAAACAGGGGGATTGGGAGGTAAATGACGACTATGTTGTAGATGAGATGTAAAATCCAAGGATGCTGGTATGAGAGATAATTGGATGAAGTACCGGACCTTGTGGTGAGATGATATATATGCTTCATATCAAGGCATCGATCGTCTGAGAGCATTGCAGAATACAGAGCACATCTGTGAGACTGCTAAATATCGTTAACAAAATCAAATACATTTAAAGTATCTGGAAAGGTCAAATCACAGTGAAAGTAGAGTCTTAAGAGCGAGAGGAGAGATTGAAATATCCAACCGCTCTGCCATAATCTATAACTTAGATCTAAATGAATACAGTATGAGACAGGGCAGTTCCAAACAAGGCCAGACCCAGAAAAAGCAAAAATAAAATTGCCGCATTCTCTAGCCTTAAGCCCCCGACCCTGGCCCGGGGTGTATAGTTGGAGAAACTAAACCTATTCTGGTGCCCGATGGGCTCAGCCTCATCGTGGGGTTGCGGTTAATAAGACTCAATGTGACTCGTTCTGCGGACAGATGGACCTAAGGGGCTAGGGGAGTGAATTTAATTGGTCTATGGAGGTGATGTTCATTGTCTCTCTTCCTATGATATCAGGGATTAGGGCTGGAAATGTGCACGCAAGACCATATGACATCAAGTGGGTCGAGCGATATCATGGTGTTTTGTCGACAATTATACAAGAACAGCGTGGAAAATAAGTTAGTATGAAGAGAGTCGAATAAAAGGGATATATGGGCTTGTGAGACCCTTTTTCCTTCTGTAAAACGTGGAATCTGTAAAAGAGACTATGCATGAAGTGTGGCTGTGGCAATCGAGATGGTGGGGGATTGCCGGGTATAATGAACCCCTTGCCAGTGTCCAACCAATTGGTAATCCTAGAGAAAACGAAAAAGTATGTCACGGCCGGCAAAGAGTCATCCGGACTTAACGGAGTCATTGATCACAAATATGAAAAAGTGAGGCCACAGAGAAGAGAGGAGACCGTGGAGGCAAAAGACGCTAATCCTAAAAGGGACTAGGGCCAACTCCCCTCCCTCGAGAAGCTTCTGTCATCGATATAAATTGCATTTCTCTCTTTGCACTCACACGATCAACGTCATCCTCTTTCACCTCACAACCACCCTACTCAACAACCCGCTCCACCACATACCAAACCCTCATCTTCAAAATGTCTGACTGGGAGAGCACCACCAAGATTGGCAGCAAGTTCCGTGGAGCTGGCGCTGCCCCCCGCGAGACCGTCGTCAAGGGCAAATCCGCCCTGAACGCCGCTCAGCGCTCTGGCGGAGTCATCACTGAGAAGAAGTACACCACCGGCAACATCGTACGTGGCAAAAACCCCTCAATCCAAACCCCCCAAATCATAATAAATATTAACTAAAATCAACAGGGTGCCAAGGCAGGCGCTCCCGAAGGCCAGCACCTCACCAAGGTCGACCGCAGCGACGACATCGTCAAGCCTAAGACCGTCGGCCCCGTCGTCGGCGATGCCATCAAGAAGCGCCGCAACGAGGAGGGCTACAAGATGACCCAGAAGGAACTCGCCACCAAGTGCAACACCACCATCACCATCGTCCAGGACTTCGAGCGTGGCACCGCCACCCCCGACCAGAAGGTACTCGGTGCCATGGAGCGCGTGCTGAATGTTAAACTCCGTGGTTCCGACATCGGTGCTGAGAAGTTCCCTAAGAAGAAATAAATGGTGGTTCGGGGTGAACCCGCCACTTTTGTTTCTGTTTCTGCTTTCTGGGATAAATAAGACCGGGATACAATTTCAAGGTCCTTTTTTTTTTTGGCATTGCTCTTTTTTGCGCTCAATGACTGTCATGTCCTTCACATTCTCATGAGACGTCACTTTTTTCTTTTTTTTCTTACGGGTTTCACTTCTGCTGGTCGGATTAGCGCTGGCCTTGCATGGAAACGGGTTTAGAGAAGATATCACGAAAAAGATCTTGTATAAATGAGATACCTCACATTTTGGTTATGATCAAACATATTTCCTACACCTGGATTGTTTAGTACTTGATTGACATGGTAGATTTCGGTAGCACTGTGAGCTTGGTGCAGGATATATATGTCCTTGATCAGATTCATGCGCAGAAAATATAACATGGATAGCTTGAATCTGATCAAAGAAGTAAGCCGCCAAATAGTATTGAAGATTTGCAAAGCTTGAATTGTCTATTTACTGATTTTATCTTCTGCTCGGGATGAATATCCCCGCAAATAGAACAGACATAAGAGCTCAACATGAACCATGTCATCTTTTTATTAAACAAAGACAATAACAGAAGGTACCAACTCCGATTGATCATGGAATCAATGAAATGAGAAAATCGTGTCCCAGAAGGCCATCATCCCATCCCGTATGCGGGGACCCGGGGGATCTATCCCAAGTCTTTTCGCCTCGTAAACACATACATAACGACGCATGACGATTCGATAACTTTCACCATTCACGTCTCCTTTACTTCCGCATCTGCTCGCGCTCGACCTCGTACATGAAGTCGAAATAGGACTTATCGAAGTGGTGGACACGGACGTAACCGTCCTCACCACCGGAGGCGTATGCGGTACCGGCTGGGTGGACGTCGATGGTGTTGAGGGGACCGAAGTGGCCACGGACACGGCCAATCTCGTCTTCGAAGATCTTGTGGTAGAAGCGGGCCTCGAATTTACCCTGGCGGGCGGAGGTGGTGGTGACATCCATGGCGGCCTGACCACCACCGAGAATCACGTATTCCTTCTTTGGTGTCACGCTGGCAGTGTTGAGGGGAGTGTCGGAGGTGTAGGTCTTGAGGATGGCGAGGTTGCGGGAGGACATGAGCTGCATACTGTTAGCGAGAGAATTGGCGCGGGTTTGCGAATGATCCTACCTTAGCGGACTTGTCTTTGGAGGCGGTGATGAAGCTGGTGCGGTCAGGGGAGAACTGGAGGTCGTTGATCTGGTGATCGAACTCGTGGGCCTGAATGTTCTCGATTTGGTCGCCGGTCTAGACTATCGTAAGCACTTGATACCTTTCAATCCGTTGATCAAGCCATACCTTAGGGTCGTACTGGCTGACACTGCCATCCTCGTGCCCCGCAATGATGTACTTGGACAGGAAACTCCACCCCGCAACGGTAGCCTTGGACTCTGTGCAGGTAATGCGCAAGCTAGGCTCATCGGCCTGGTCGTTGAGGTTGTCGCCGTAGTTGATATCGAGGACTGCGATTGTACCGAGGAAACCCATACGCTTTTCCGTCACTGCCAAAAGTCTGCTACCATCGGGCGAGAATTGCACACGCTTCACGGCTGTCGGGAAATCCCACACCTTCACACATTCGCCAGTCTTGACGTTCCATAGGCGCACAGTGTTGTCTGCAGATCCGGTTGCGAGAAGAGTGGTGTTGGGGCTGACATCGACAGTCCAGACGGCACCCTGGTGACCGTTGTATGTACCGAGACGCTCGCCGTTGGCGGACCACCATGCGCACACAATCTTATCCTTGGAAACGGAGAAAAGGAGATCGCCATCGCTGTTGAACTTGATCTGGGTCAAGGACCGTTCCTGTTATAGCCTCCGATTAGTTTCTTTGTGGATCCAGCAAGATTTCGAGGGAGTCCACGCACATGGCCCGAAAGCAAAATAGGGCGCATATTGAAGGATGCGACGAGTCGAAGATGAAGACCGAAAAATTTGAGTCGACTCAGACGTGAGGAAGGCGGAGTGGCTTGGGGGGGTTATCACTCGTTCTTTGACTAGTGAATTTCATCCGAGTGTGTTCAACCCGGGAAATCGTCGGCCCGAGCATATTTACGCTGCTCACCGCCCGCTGCTGCCCTAACTACTGAGTTTATGGCCTCAGGCAGAAACAAGGAGAAGTCTCCGATTTTTCCCCGTCTCTCCGCATGAGCTGAGTTAATTACGAAGTACAAAAAGGAAACATTGACTGTAAGAGGAAGTTATCGGGGGAATAAGGACAGCATTTGGCCTCAATTCCTTTTGGGACATGTGATGCAGTGAGACTCACCTTTTCTCGCACGATAACAGAAGGGGTTATCCCTCCCAATCAAGCAATAATTCATGCTACTCCCCACCCTACCCCGCCGTGGTTTTTATCTCCAAGTCTATGGCCCTTTGCGTTTCTTCTCTTCTCCTACCTCCTATATAACTTCATTGAGTGCAGCTAGAGGGCCTCGTTGTTTGTGGTCGACTTCTCCACTGAACGTCGATTTTTCTCCCGTCTCCCCGTTCCGCACGTTTTCCGGGTCTGCAATGGCTGGCGCCAAGATCGATGGCACTGCCATCGCGAAGAGCATTCGCCAGGGCTTGAAGGCCGAGATTGAGCAGCTTCAAGCGACGAACCCTCGCTTCAAGCCCAACCTTATCATCTTCCAGGGCAAGCAGTACACCCCTCGAGTCTGACAGGAGAAAATGATGCTAACTTTTGGTTCTATACAGTCGGCAATCGATCGGATTCCAGTGGGTTTGGATTATACTCAATTAATGGGAGAAACTAATATGTCTTAGGCACCTATGTGCGCATGAAGCTGAAGGCTGCTCAAGAGGTATTACTCCTGACCCATATCACATGCGTGGGCTTCGTCTGACTGTACCTAGGCCAACATTATCTGCACTTTGATCAATGTCCCCGAATCGAGCACCGAGCTGGAGCTCATCCAGGAGATCACCAAGGCTAACAATGACCCCGCCGTCCACGGTATTCTCGTCCAATTGCCCCTCCCCAGTCACATGTCCGAGCATACGATTACCTCGACTGTTGCCGATGAGAAGGATGTCGATGGATTTGGCGCAATCAACATTGGAGAACTGGCCAAGAGGGGTGGTCGCCCATTGTTCGTCCCATGCACCCCTCTGGCGGTCATGGAGCTGCTCAAGGCTAGCGGCGTGGACCCTGCAGGCAAGGAGGCTGTTGTTCTAGGACGCAGTGACATCGTCGGCAGCCCTGTCAGCTACTTGCTTAAGAACGCCGATGCTACTGTTACTATCTGTCACTCCAAGACCCCCGACATTGCTCGCGTCGTGAAGAATGCGGACATCGTTGTGGCCGCCATCGGCCAGACCGAGATGGTCAAGGGTGACTGGCTGAAGCCCGGTGCTGTGGTCATTGATGTCGGTATCAACTACAAACTTGACGCGACCAAGAAGTCTGGCGAGCGCCTGGTCGGTGATGTTGAGTTCGAAACTGCTGTCGAGGTGGCCTCGCAAATCACTCCGGTCCCCGGTGGTGTTGGTCCTATGACCGTGGCTATGCTGCTGAAGAACGTGGTCCATGCCGCCAAAGGCTACTTTGAGAAGCAGAAGAACCGCCATGTTACTCCCCTTCCCATTCGCATTCAAAACCCTGTACCTTCCGACATTGCTATCTCTCGGGCACAATATCCCAAGCCCATAACCCAGGTTGCCTCCGAGGTCGGCATTGCTCACCACGAGTTGGAGCCGTACGGCCACACCAAGGCTAAGATCAGCCTCAGTGTTATGGAGCGACTTGCTCATCGCCGCAACGGAAGATACATCTTGGTTTGCGGCATCACCCCCACCCCTCTGGGCGAGGGCAAGTCCACCACCACATTAGGTCTGACCCAAGCCCTGGGCGCCCACCTCAACCGCATATCCTTTGCCAACGTCCGTCAGCCTAGCCAGGGTCCCACTTTCGGTATCAAGGGTGGTGCTGCTGGTGGAGGTTACAGTCAGGTTATTCCCATGGACGAGTTCAACCTCCACTTGACTGGTGACATTCACGCTATTACCGCCGCCAACAACCTTTTGGCTGCGGCCATCGAGACTCGCATGTTCCACGAGTCCACCCAAAAAGATGGTCCTCTGTACAAGCGTCTCGTTCCTGCCAGCAAGGGCAAGCGCGAGTTCAAGCCCATCATGTTCCGCCGCCTGAAGAAGCTTGGTATTGATAAGACTAACCCTGACGATCTTACCGAGGAGGAGATTGGCCGCTTTGCCCGCCTTGATATCGACCCGGAGACTATCACTTGGCGCCGTGTGCTCGATGTCAACGACCGACACCTGCGCGGCATCACTATTGGCCAAGCTCCCACTGAGAAGGGTCTGTCTCGCGAGACCGGCTTCGACATCTCCGTTGCCAGTGAGTGCATGGCTATCCTCGCTCTGAGCAACGATCTGGATGATATGCGCGAGCGTCTTGGTCGTATGGTCGTTGCCACGTCAAGGAGCGGTGACCCCGTGACTTGCGATGATATTGGTGCCGGCGGTGCCCTCGCCGCCCTGATGAAGGATGCCATCAAGCCCAACCTCATGCAGAGTTTGGAGGGTACCCCTGTCATGGTGCACGCTGGTCCCTTCGCCAATATCAGTATTGGCGCCAGCTCTGCCATTGCCGACAAGCTTGCTCTCAAGCTGGCCGGTACTGAGCCTGATGAGGACCATGAAGATAAGACCGGCTTTGTGGTCACTGAGGCTGGCTTTGACTTTACCATGGGTGGTGAGCGCTTCTTTAACATCAAGTGCCGCTCCTCTGGCTTGTCCCCGGACACTGTCGTCATTGTGGCTACGGTCCGTGCGCTGAAGGTTCACGGTGGTGGCCCCGAGATCAAGCCCGGTGCTCCCCTCAACGAGGTGTACCGCACCGAGAATGTGGACATCCTCCGCAAAGGCTGCATTAACCTCCGGAAGCACATTGCCAATGCTAAGCAGTACGGCATTCCTGTCGTGGTCGCAATCAACAGATTCGAGACCGACACCGAGGCTGAAATCGCCGTCATCAAGGAGGAATCGATCGCTGCTGGTGCAGAGGATGCCGTCCCTGCCAACCACTGGGCCGAGGGTGGAGCTGGTGCCATTGATTTGGCCAAGGCTGTCATGACCGCCAGCTCCAAGGAGAAGGACTTCAAGCTTCTCTACGGCCTGGATGGTAGCATCCAGGAGCGCATCGAGCGCATCGGCCAGGCCATGTACGGCGCTGACAAGGTCGAATTCAGCGAGCTTGCGCAAAAGAAGGTCGATACATACACCAAGCAAGGATTCTCCAACCTGCCGATCTGTATCGCCAAGACTCAGTACTCACTCAGTCACGATCCAGCCCTCAAGGGCGCCCCCACCGGCTTCACTGTGCCCATTCGGGATGTCAGATTAGCGGTGGGTGCTGGATATCTGTAAGATCACCTTTGAACGTGAATTTATGGAATTGACACTAACGTTAACCTATAGCTACGCTCTGGCCGCTGACATCCAGACCATTCCCGGACTGCCCACTGCCCCCGGCTACCTTAATGTGGACATTGACACAGAGACCGGTGACATCGACGGGATGTTCTAGAGTGACCGATTGAATTGATAGAGAGTTGTATATACCGCGATTCGAATGGTTTGGATCGATTTCAACATATAGGGTAATAGGCGTCTGCTTGGAGCTTAGACGGAGAAATTTCAACACCAGGCTCAGTCCGGGGCAATTATATTCATATATATTTTCTTCAATATTTCAATATGTCGCTCTATTTTCTCTATTTCTATAGATCGTACAATTCGGTTCCTGATTTCCCGGGGCGAATGAGGAGCCGGTGAGCGGCCGCGGAGCTCTGCTCCGAGCTCCGGGAACGGCCTCCCACAGCGTCTGCTCAACAGCACAGCGGGTCGGATGGAGCTTTAAGAAATTTAACCTGAGATAGGAATAGACCGATGAGTCAGGAGACTTGTCAAGGAGATTTAAAGAAAACGGTAAATCCACTGAGAAGTGAAGCTCTCTCTGTCATCACTATCTCGTGACATCCGGCTTCGGCGCTTCTCTGCGGTTAATAAAGGAGCATCAAACAACTCTCCATTGCACCGGACAAGGCTTTTTCCTCTTCTCTCTCCCCAATCTCTCCATTCCCCAGTCATTCGGTAATTGTCCCTTCCCATTTGCCTTTGCTCTTCTATCGTTCCGACCTCTCCCGTCCCCCCGAATCCCGGAGTTGCTCTGCTCTTCGTTTCTCCGGGGGAAGCCCTTCGACTCCACATTTTCCTTTCTGCCGAACTTCATTCCCTCGGTTGTAAGCCGCGGGCATTGAGTGGCCGACTTGCGGTACATTCGCGCTGACTTCCGAATAAGACACGATGAACGCTCTCCGATCAAGTTCCGCACTCGCTCGCCGCTCCCTCACCCCTCTCTCTGCCCCTCTCTCTTCTTCTCTTTCTTCTTCCTCCTTCTCAACTTCCTCTCGTTCAATCTCCACCTCATTCTCTCGCTCTACTCGCGTTGCTGCATCTTCCCGCTGGTCCGGACCGATCCCTCTGAACTTCGCTCAAATTCGCACTATGGCTTCCGAGACCAAGATCAAGGTTAAGAACCCGGTGGTGGAACTGGACGGTGATGAGGTATGGACCGCCCTTTTATAGCTTAAACTCTCCGGGTTGTTCCACAAGTCAGCATTTCCATGTGCTCTCGGCTGGCGCGTTTTCGTCTCCAAAACGCGGGGAAACACGGGGCATACTATGTCATTCATGTGTTAAACCCGCCGAGAATGATGTCGCGCAACTCCAATTGTCTCATTAGCACGTGCTAACCGGATCATCTTCGTGGATCTAGATGACCCGCATCATTTGGCAGGAAATCAGAGAAAAGGTACGCATCTCCCTTCCCGGGCTAGTCCTGCATAATCGCCGCCTCGTTGCAGTGCGCTGCATGCAGTGGATGCGGTTGATGCATCATATTACGTCCCAGCCTGGTTCTAGACTCGATACTAACGGGCTGATAGTTGATTCTGCCCTACCTTGATATCGACCTTAAGTACTACGATCTCGGTATTGAGTACCGTGACCAGACCGATGACAAGGTCACTGTTGAGGCCGCCGAGGCCATCAAGAAGTACGGTGTTGGTGTCAAGTGTGCCACCATCACCCCCGATGAGGCCCGTGTTGAGGAGTTCAAGCTGAAGAAGAGTAAGCTCATATGTCTGTCTGTCCAACACCCGGAAGCTAACCTTGCTAGTGTGGCTCTCCCCCAACGGCACCATCCGTAACATCCTGTAAGCTTATTTCAACCGAAACCTACCGTTCCCTGCTAACAATCACTCCAGTGGTGGTACCGTGTTCCGTGAGCCCATTGTCATTCCCCGTATTCCCCGCCTGGTCCCTGGCTGGACCAAGCCCATCATCATTGGCCGTCACGCCTTCGGTGACCAGTACCGTGCCCAGGACCGTGTCATCCCCGGCCCTGGTAAGCTTGAGCTCGTCTACACCCCCGTTGGTGGCGAGCCCGAGCGTATCCAGGTCTACGACTTCCAGGGTGGTGGTGTTACCCAGTGCCAGTACAACACCGATGAGTCCATCGCTGGCTTCGCCCACTCCTCCTTCCAGATGGCCCTCATGAAGGGTCTCCCCCTGTACATGAGCACCAAGAACACCATCCTCAAGAAGTACGATGGCCGCTTCAAGGACATCTTCGAGGAGATCTTCCAGAAGGACTACAAGAAGGAATTTGATGCCAAGGGCATCTGGTACGAGCACCGTCTCATCGACGACATGGTCGCCCAGATGGTCAAGTCCGAGGGTGGCTTCGTCATGGCCCTCAAGAACTACGACGGTGACGTCCAGTCCGACATCGTCGCCCAGGGCTTCGGCTCCCTCGGTCTGATGACCTCCACCCTGACCACCCCCACCGGTGAGGCCTTCGAGTCCGAGGCTGCCCACGGCACGGTCACCCGTCACTACCGCGAGCACCAGAAGGGCCGCGAGACCTCCACCAACCCCATTGCCTCCATCTTCGCCTGGACCCGCGGTCTGATCCAGCGTGGCAAGCTCGACAACACCCCCGACGTTGTCGCCTTCGCTGAGGAGCTTGAGAAGGCCTGTACCGACGTTGTCAACGACGAGGCTATCATGACCAAGGATCTGGCTCTTGCTTGCGGCCGTAAGGACCGTGAGGCTTGGGTTACTACCGGCGAGTACATGGCTGCCGTTGAGCGGAGGCTCAAGTCCAACCTCAAGGCTCGTCTGTAGATTGCATCTCCCTTGCGCAAGATTTTATGATATTTCCGCTTTAGACGCCCATTTAGCGGAACGAAGATGATTGATTGGTTATTTGTACAGTTTTCAGCAATTCAATTGTTCTGTACACACTTTTTTTTTTTTTTTTTTAATTAACTTAGATTGTATCACACGGGATGCCTGTAGACCCCTTGCAGTATTCCAAGTAGTCACAACACTGTATCTTCCTCGGAAAAGCCGGGCATGTGTAGCTTACCTTATCTACGCCCTCCACGCCCTGGGCAGGTCTATCCTTTCTCAACCGCACCAAGGAAGCCTGATAACAGGTATCCCACCACTCACACAGAGGGGAATCAAATATCCAACCAAACAAGACCAGCAAACGTCCCAAAGAAACACGTCCTGACTCGTAGCGACCCCACAAAGGCCAGTTTAACGAACATTCCTGACTTACCTCTACCCTCGTCGGCCGAACCGAAACCCAAAAGTCCAACAAAAGTCCAAAACCCACCAACGAGAAGCAAACCACACCCTATACAGTTTCCACAATCCCAAAGCTGCAGGCTGGACCGGGGATCTCCAGACCCATCACCCACTTCATAGGCTCTAGCATGTACGCCATTGGATCCTCATTCGCTGTTCGCCGATCCAACGAACACCATGTCGGCCTAGATCCGGGTACAGTCTCCACTAGTTTATCTGGTCGGCCAATCACAGTGGCTGAATGTAGTCCAGACTTTCAGTCCTTGACGCGGTCATGTCCGATTTCCGAATGCGGGGGGTCGATGATGGGGGATCTTCGACCGCCAAAGCTCGGTGGTTCTTGGTTCTCTGCATGTTCTCTGCAAGACCTGCTGAATTACACTGCAGATCAGGCTGATTGTGAAGTGTGACACCCACCAGGTGCTTAGCCTAAGGTCTTCCGAGTTTCGGTGAAGGCAAATGTGTGGGCGTTCTTTATATACTTTGGCTTTCTCTACTTCTCGCCTGCTTCCATGCTCCGACCTCTTATCGTCTCATGTCCTGTATATTGGTCGAGTCACGGTGATTTCGTTGATTAATATCACTACGACTCTTACCACTGGACGATTATTCTATTATCCGATGTATTGGCACACGCTACTTGTCTCTCTCCCTTTCCGTTTGCTACTTTCTAGCTGAGGGTTATCTATCGCTTGCATTGTCGATCAAATGTATGTTCTGATCGTCTCGACTATCTTTACGGTTCTTTCAACCATCTGCGTCGTTCTGAGGTTGTGGACGAGGTTCTGGCTTATTAGGGCTCCTGGGTTGGATGATTTATTCATTACTGGTGCATTGGTACGTATTGCAATGGGTTCCTTGGCCTTAGGAAGGGCATATCACTTGAAAAGAGCCTGCATACTGACGTACAATGTACATCAGGCCGTCAACCTTACATTCTACGCTTTTACCTTAATCGGTGAGTTGATCTACTCAACAAACTCACACATTCCAACTCCCAATCTAACATCCATCCTCTATAGAGCGCCATTATGGCCTCGGGCATCCCATATCATCCCTCCCCCCACACGTCATCAAAGGTCAACTACAGGTAAGGTATACCAATCTCACTGAAAAGACAACCATTAACAAAGTATAGTATCTCTGGCTTTCAGTTCCCTTTTACAATCTCATCCTGATCCTCTCCAAAATATCCGCCCTATGCCTCTTCGTCCGTCTCTTCCGCCCGCGCCCTTTCCTCCTCGCTACTTATATCACAATGGGCTTCCTGGTCGTTGCAGGCCTATGGATGACATTAAGCGGGTTCTTTTTCTGTGCACCCATCCACTACTTCTGGGATGTATCCGAGGAAGTCCGCAGTGACCATTGTCTGCCTCAGGGCCCTGTTTGGTTTACCAACGCCGGCATTCAGATTGCTACTGATATCATCATCCTGATTCTTCCTATGCGTTTACTTTGGAAGTTGCAAATGCCCCGTCGGCAAAAGTTTGGGGTTGTTGCTGTCTTTGGGCTTGGAATTGTGTGAGTATATGTCTATACTAAGTTCCAGGTTAACGGTAAAGCTGACCTTTATTTTTCTCTTTCAGGGTCATCGCCACCAGCTCAGCCCGTCTCTCTCAGTTAAGCATCATGGTCCGCGAAAAGGATTTCACCAGTAAGTACCAACCAACACCGAGACCAACCCATATTCATATCTACACAAATCCCACAGTATGAAACAATATACTAACAACCCCGCAGAAACAAACGCCCAAGCCGTACTCTGGTCCTCCCTAGAAGCAAACATATCAATAATCTGCGCCTGTCTCCCACCCCTGCACCCCCTCCTCTCGCGAGTCTTCTCCTTCTGCTTCCTCCCCCAACCCCTCCACTCATCCCCAGGCTCAAAAGCTGGCCAATCGCACACAACCCAATTAACAGACTCCCGCAAACCATCCATATACTCCCACTACAACTCAAATCCCAGCCCAGACGGCGGAGTGTGGTATAATGAAATCTTCACGCCTGGTCCGGCGAATTACTCGGCTAGTATTTCAAAGGATAACAATAATGAGGAGCCAGGGAATGAGAATGGGATTCGTGTTGTTCGGGAGTTGAGGATGAGGTCGGAGGAGGTTCATACACCTACTTTGAGGACTGGGTCGCCTAGGGACATGGAGAGAGATTTGGAGATGGGGACGCTTGATAGTCATAGTGCTCGTGAAGGGGGTGGGGCGTCGAATCCTGGTATTGAGTGGGATTTGGGGGATTTCGAGTTTCCTGATTATAAGGAGCGGATGAATGCTCCTATTTGATCTGTTGGAGTGGAGGGGAATAGGGAGAGGGGTTTGCATATACCCTATTGCATTGAGATAGTGCGCGATATATAGCGATGATGTTAATGATATTGTAAATTTCATCAACACCGGTGTGTGTAACTAGTTGTGGTGAAAGTATAGTAGACATGGTCATCTATTTGTAGTTCCAAGTGATCAAAGATTCGCTCGAGAAACCATCTTCCCCTGCATAGCTTCCTCAATCGCCTTCGCTACAGCAACACACTTCTCCTCCCCAAACCGTCCCCCGACAACCTGTACACCAACGGGCATACCCTGAACCAGGTCGATATCATCTATACAAAAGTCAGCAGAACTCTCTAAATCCAAACCAGAGATTGAATGCACTCACATTGCGCCTTATTAAACTTATCACTATCATTCCTGGGAATATGATCCAGCCATGTCTGATCAGGAACATCCTTCTCCTTCGAAACAGTAGTGACAGGAACTGCCAATGCAGCATAGCCCAGGAAATTCCAGATACTCGTGTAGCCCACGTACGCACTGGATTTGACCCACGTCCATGGCTTGTAGCCTACCCATGGTGTATTGGGCATGATGATCGCGTCGACGCCGGAGGATATCCATTTGTTGAGGTATTCCGTTTCGTAGTTGTATTTGTCTGCGTTGAGCTACAAAATGCGTCAGAAGAAATCTTAATAATAATAGCAAATTGTGGCTCAATGCTTACCTGGTGCGTCTCGCTCGTTGTCAACGTATCCTCTGGCTTCCCAACGAGCATTCCTTCAATAAGTGGCTCGCCTGTTAGTTCTATTTTCCTCCGGCAGCCTTCTCCGCCATCCGAGAATATGGCTTTTGCCCAGAGGGTGTATGCGTAACCGTGTGAAGAGGCATCCCATTCGAAGACTAAACTCTTCTCATTAGTACTTTATCCCCAAACATGGCCATAAAAAGGGTTTCAGATAGGACGTATGCTTTCTTACCATCATGACCAGCCACCGTCAAAGCCTCAATAACCTCCCGCATAGCCCTAGCAATCGGCGGCTGAACTCTCACAACCCCATCATCAACCAAGAACCCAATCCTCAACCTCTTCCCACCCGAAGCCAAATGCGCCCTCCAAGGCACAGGGGAAACATGCTGATCAACCTCCCAAGGCGACGCAGTTGGCAAAGCCTCCATATACCGCTCGATAGTAGCCAAGCTACAAGCCATAGGCCCAGCAACGGAGCGCACAATATCCTGCCCAGGACTATATGAATAGTATTATCAGCCGAAACGTTCACCATCACCATGCATCATCACCACAAAACAGAAACAGAAACAAAAAACTTACTTTCCCCTCTCATAAGGATGTCTCCCAGGACTAGGCGACAACCCAAACAGCCCACAAAGCGCAGCAGGAATACGAATCGAACCACCAAGATCAGTCCCAATACCAAGAACGCTACCGCGCGCCGCAACAAGCGTCCCCTCGCCACCCGAACTCCCGCCAGATATCAAAGCCCGGTTAAATGGGTTGACGCACTGCCCGAAGACGTGATTGTACGAGTCGGACATCATCATCGATTGTGGGAGATTGGTCTTCACGTAGAGGACTGCGCCTAGGCGGCGGAGGGTTCTTGCGACTGATTTGTCGGCTTTTTCGGGGTTGTTTGTTAGTCCGACCCAGCCTGGATTTTGTATATGTTAGTCTTCTTGTTGCTTGGCTGGTTTGCTTGTGGTTGCGGTATGGTTGCGGTTATAGTGCTTAGGATGGAGTGAGAAAGGAAATGAAACGTACCGATTGAAGTATCAACACCCTTAACAGAAAATAAATCTTTAATAGACACCGGTAGACCGTGTAAAGGCCCAGCAGTCTTGCCTGTTTTCGCGAGGTGGTCATCCATTTCTTTGGCGGTGGCGAATGCCTCTTCGAAGAATATCTCCGTGCAACATGTTGTTAATTGGTGGGCTAGTGCGGCGCGTTTAGAAAATGCACGGGTTAGATCTAGTGAGGAAAGTTCTCCTGACGAGAGCTTGCGTAGAAGGATGGAGATATCGGTTTCTTCTGTGAGGGCCAGTTCATCCGGAGTGAGAATCAGGCGGAGATAAGCCAGGGCATTTGGGGTAGATTCGATCGCGGGGATCGGCTGTAAGCGCCACTCGGGTGGGATCAGAGAGTGTTGATCGGCGCGTTTCTGGGTGGACCGTTCTTGGTATGTAGCCATGCTCTCAAGGGGTATCTTGAACTTGTGAGTAGGAATGCGTAGAAAGGAAGGGGTGGAAGGGGTGTGGGTTTATATGTAAGGTTGCAGAAGTGCTATCTACATCAAGTTCCGCGAAAGGAAGGTCATCTCGTCGGGAGCTGCGCCAATCGCTCTCCTCTTCCCCCGCCTCTTCGGATACCATGGGAACCAATGAAGCTTCGCCAGTAGCCTCTCGGGATATGATATCGCATTGGGATGGCCAGGTACATGTATAATATTTATGTGGCAGGGATCTGCGCGATAGCATAAGTAAGATAAGAGAAAGTAAATGGGTACAGCTGTAATATGTAGAGATAGTAGATTATCTAAAGGATTAAGTCGGAAACCAGGTGTAGCATGGCCGTCTTTAGGCTTGCATTGAAGTTCTAAAGAGATCACACATGGTTAGGGTTATTTTATGGTCGATAGGTCAACTCCGAATAGGAAGGAACCAGCTTTGCTTTTTGCTCAGCTGTAGCTTTCATCCACCTCCATCTGTTTGGGAATCTTGGTTGCCGGATCCTGAAGAAGCTCTATCCAGCCAGGACCTGGCTTATATCAAAACGCCGCTTCCTCTCATCAGAGGACTCGAACATCGTGCAGCAACGAAGCTCATGGTAAATACCTTACTTCGAACCAGAGTCGCTAAGGCTTATTCAAAAGTAGGGTAGAACCATTCCTCTACACAGAATCAAGATGAGGCTTACGAACATTTTCAGACCACCGAAATTCATGATGTGGAAGGCGAAAAGCGTGACCCCGGCCCAAAGAATACAAGGCTCGCTCGAATGGCCTGCTCAATTCCCCTGTTGCTTGTCACCTGTATAATCCGCGATCATATACTTCGAGGATCGTCGATAGCGTTAAGGCGGATTTTCAGTCTGTATTTCGTACAATACCTTCCTCAACCGGCCGGTTTAGTTGTCTGTTACCAATCAAGGAGAGCAGTACTGCGTAAATTACTCTCTGACAGCCTTATATCTCTTAATACTAGATTTCAACTAGTAGTACCTTATTCAAATCGCTCAAATTAGGATCAATTACTTAGAAACTGTTAACGCATGGAAGTAAATGTAGAGTGTACATACAGTATACCGGCGGCTTTGATTATAGATCTCCAGTATTATGAGCTACCTCAGCTATATTTTATTAAAATCTCTGGGCCTTTACCTTTCACGATAACCAGAGCGATTTTGATGATTCCTCACTACGTACCTAGACCGAATGTCCATTTGATTCCTCCAAAAAAAAAAAAAATAGAAAGGAAAAAAAAAAAGAAGAAGGGGCTCAGCCGGGATTTGAACCCGGGACCTCCCGCAATTAAGGTGTAATCACCTGAAGCTCCGGTGTCTCCGAAGCGGGAATCATACGACTAGACCACTGAGCCAATTAAACAGCTAACGGGTCAGATGTTAAAATCCAGGAAGCCTGTATCTAATTTCTCAGATGATCTTAGTAACGTTTATATATGTAGAGATGTAGAGACCAGAAAGCATGTAGACCCCCGAAAGACGTCATACGCCGTTTGGCAGTATCACCGAGAAGCATTAGGCTGTGAGCCAAGGAATGTCTAGATTGATAACAATAATGAGTTGCCATCAACTTCGGCTAGGCGGACAATTTCCAATGCCAGGCCAAATTCGAAGATTGATGTGGGATTTGAACTAGAAAGCATAAGGAAGCAAAGGTACAGTGGAGACTGTTATCGCCTTTATGTGGGATATGTGTGAGACACTCTTTTAAACCCTTAATCACATGATACGAAAAGCCCCTTGTGGCTAGTGAATAATTGTGTCGTTATGTACTTAGCATGTATTTGACTGAGAGTACCAAGCCATTTCCACCGTACCAACAGCTGGTCTTGCGGTTTACGGGGCAGTCAGTTGCCAAGTTCGTACTATGCGTATAAGCGGTGTGAAAAGCATTGAGCAGAAGCTTCTCTATTGTGATATCACATGCAGCCAAGGGCGCAAATTGGGCTTTTCTGTCAGTTATATAGTAGAGAATATTCCTTCGAATACTCACCTATTTTCCTCCAAACTAAGGTTTCAATCAAGTTGATTACAGTCACTATTCGATAGTCAATTTGGTGCCGTTTATCAAGTTTCTCCAATATGAAGCTCCTTCCAACCTTTGTCTTCCTATCGATCCGTGCTTTTGGTCAGACCGCAGACGAATGCTCTGCTAGTGGCAATACGCAAGTCTGCTGCAATGGTGATCTTAATTGCCCAGTCATGGTTCTAGGGACAACATGTGGAAACCAGGCCTATTGCTGCGAAGGCGGGGCCACTGTACGTCTCTTGCACAGTATCTCCTGCAAGGGTGTTAACTAATCATGATACAGGGTGAATTGATCAATGTCGCTGCAGCGAATTGTCTCAAAATCAACTGATAATCCTTCTGTGACAATTCTCTTGCTCTCGCCGCACCACTATATGTCCTATGTATTGTAGTGGTGGAACCCATGACAGTAGCGTATAGTGGTCTGAGGTATCACAAATGCCTTAGGAAGCTTGCGTGCAGTCTTTTCTTAGAGAGCAGCATCATCCTACCATCATCAATATGACTACAGTTTTCCACCAGATTCTTCTTTCATGATACAGCTTCGTTTCTAGTATGATAGCCACCTACAGAGACTGCTCTCTACGTCTGTACTGGACATGGGAGTGGTTGGTTGTGCTGTCTCCATTGATACCGACCCGTCTGCTATGTCAGACTGCCATCGTGCCATCCCCATTTCAGTATCTATTTCGAGCGCTCGTCTCTGTCAAGGAAGGTGCTTCAAGTTTTCAAAGCTTTAAGCAGGCAGCTTAGCCATTCTTTCTTCATACGGGAGCCTCAAGTAAATAAAAACAAATAGAAAACAGATGTGCAATTACAATCATAGCGGATCTAGTGGCGACTTTCGCCATCGGACAGTTAGGGATGATGCTTGCTATACTTCGTAATTCCAATCAGTAGAAAGAGGGGTTGGAAAGCCCACAGCCATAGAGCATAAGCTACGTGGCGAAGTAACCACGAAACTTCCGGGGTAGTAGTACGCTCTACCATGTAAGCAGGCTTGACACCTAGGTCAGTTCGCATTTGACTTGCTTTCTGACGCAGTGGTATCACCGGTGTCGGATACCTTGAAGGGGAAATTCTACACGAAGATAAGACGTGGGGGGTTGCCGTGTTCCTTTGACGTCAAATCGGCTATACGGCTACTTAGTGGATCTGATGACTGTGAGTAGGGAGAAGATAAGCATAAGTAGGGAACTTGGCAGTGTTCATGACAACGGCATGATTTAAGGATTGGTATAGTCCTTGGTGAGCCCAAGAAAACGCAGAACGTAGAAAAATTACTGTCTGTTCCTTTCTATCGGGTGATTGCAATGAGAATCAAGATTGACTTTCGATTCCTGAAAGCTATTTGAAAACAATTAACGTAAAGAGTGTGGTGCACAGCCGTGCGAGTCATATACCAGTTCCTATAAAAACATTATCCGCGCGTAGAAAGGGGGAAATGAATGACAGGTCATTGACCGGAGCCCACTTGAAAACAAATGAGTGTGAACAGTAGACAGCCAATGCTAGTAGAAACAAGGAAAGAAAACGGAACCATGTCTGCAAAAAGAATGATGAGCAGCTCGATGAACGAGAGTCATTGAAAAGAATGCAGCCCCCCGAGGGAGCAGAAGCCAAGTATCAGTAGAAGAAAGGCAAGGAAAGAAAATGGCTGTTAATCCGGTAAGCACTGGAGAAGAATGTGTAGAAAAAAAGACCGCCCAGAAGAAGTGAGAACAAAAGAAGGACATCTATCTAAACCGTGCCCCAAACGCAAGAAGCAACTGTAAGAAAGGAAACAACAAGAACAAACAAACGAAACTCAGAACCATATACAACGCATTTAATCATGATCAATGCTTGATGACACCGGCCCGCCAATTTGGGATCTTCATCATGTGCCAGTATCGGCTGCCTCGATCTGTACGGTTTCTCCTGCGTCTCAACCGTTCACGGCGATCCCGTCGCTTGGTTGCGGCATTTGGTTGCTCTGGCTTTGGCTTCTGGACCTCCACTATGTTGTCTGACTTGGGAGAGATCGATGGAGAGATGGAGGCTCTTTGTTCTTCCGTTGGTTGACGACGCATTCGAACCCTGCGACGACCTTTGGATCTCACTCGGATTGAAGGGGCTTTGGAAATGAGAGTCCAGGGTGCGACAATATCTGCACCTGCGATAGCATTCTGAAGACTGCTAGTGCGGGAGATCCTTCTAGATCGCCTTCTTTGCATATGCTTGGCCAGAGCCGCAGCCATGGCCGCAGCAGAATGCGAAGACGCGGAGCTATCATCGCGCAGTGAAAGAACACGCCGAGGAGTACCAACCCATTTATCATCATGTGCATGCGGTGGTCGCGAGTGACGCTTCGGGACAACAGGCTTGGAAATCCTTTGAGGGAGGTTTCTGGAGGAAGCAAAGGAAAGAGGCGAGTCACACAGATTGACCGGACCTGGAGGATGAGTCGGAGATGTCTGCGCACTTGCGCTGCTTTGGTCAGAACTCTGAGATGGTACGGAGTTCTCAACGCGTATCTTTTGCGAGAGTGCATCCGAAACCACCGCAAGTTCCCCATCCCGAGAAGGCACGTCGACCAAACACATCCCAACAAGAGGAGACTGGAGCATGGAGTGGAATGGAGGCTGTCCTAATATGCCGTAGGTCACTCCAAACTCAGTAGCCATGGTGCGGGTCTCGGGTTGCATTTTCGGGGGTGAATAGCATTGCACAGGGCAGGTTTTGGCACGACTCGCACGACTGGAGGAGGAAGATGGTCCACGTTCCGAAACGCTTTGGTGTAGTGAATCAACACTGTTGAAACAGTTGTGGCAGACCACGTCGTATTCTCCTTCCCGGGGAATGAAGTTCATGGACACTGGGTACAGACCCACGTGCATGTCTGGAGTCCAGTTGCAAACTTGCAGCCAGGACGGGAGCTCGTCAAGTGGGATGAGTGGTGACCACAGGCCTTCTGGTCGGAGAATGCAGAATCGACGGACTAGGGGCTGAGCCGGTGGTTGATGCACGGATTGAGGGGATGCAAGAAACATCGGGTACTGAGGAGAGTATTGCATGTTGAACACTGAAGAGACTGGCTGACTTGAAAAGAATGAGATAAATGAATGTTGAAATTGACAGTGAAAAGAGTGTATGGAGATGGAGAGAAGAAGAGAAGAGGAGGAGGAGGAGGAGGGAAGAAGAAGAGGGTTGTGTAGAAAATTGTGGGAAGGAGCATGTTGTAGAAGGAACAATGATAGAGTATTCGGGCGAGGTAGTGAAGAGTACAGAGAAGAGTATAGAGACACACGAGTCTACATTGCTGGAGCTGGAATTATTAGTATTCAATGTTTAAACCAATCCATTACACCCCCACTACTCCCAACTATAAACAAAACACAAATGAAGCTTTTATAGTTCTCGATAAGCCCTTATCGCTGCAACCGGTGCAAACAAGTGCAACGATCCACAGGTGCAACATGCCATCATATACTCCCTTCTCTCTTCCTCTCTTTCTCTCTTCCTCTTTCCTTTCACCAATTTCAATCCTCCAGGTGTACCAAATTCCACAATGACAACCCTCGAAGACCCAACCAACGCAACCCGCGCAACCCCAACAATAACCCCCAAAGCCGCAACCCTCCACATCGGCAGCTCAACCCTCATCAGCGCCCCAGCAGCCAAAGTCTGGAGCACCCTAACAGATACCTCAACCTGGCCAGCCTGGAACTCATTTGTACCGCGTGTAACAATCCGCTCACAACCATCCAACACAACCACGCCCAATGACATCACCAACGACCCCTCTCCAACCCTCCAAAAAGGCACCCGATTTATCTTCCACGTCCGCATGGACCCAACCTCAACCTCCACAAAGCCCCAGGCCGCAACAGACGTCTACGGTCTCGTGACTGAGTGCGCAGCTCCGAACGCCGAGACAGGCGATATCGGCCGCATTGTTTGGACAGTTGATCCTGATGCGCCGGGCGCGATGCCGCAGTCGCTTTTGAAGGCGGAGCGGGTTCATGAGGTTACGGCTGTTGAGGGTGGGACTGAGGTGCGGAATTGGGAGGCGCAGGTTGGGTGGCTTGTGTATGTGGTGAGGGTTATGTATGGGAAGAGGTTGAGGGCTAATTTTCAGTTGTGGGTTGATGATTTGAAAGGGTTTGTTGAGGGGTTGGCTGGAGGTGAAGGTGAAGGCCAAGCTGATGATCGAGTTGAGGGTGAGGGATCTGCTTGAGCATTCGTATTGTTGCTTTTGTGGTGTTTATTGATCAATTGTGAAAGGTGTTGGTGGCTTTATTTTGTGCTTTTCTGTCCCTCGCTACTCATGTGTATTCAGATGCTCGCTACTCTACGAGAAACTATGTTGACTATGACCCAATCATGGCTTGTTTGTTGACTTGTACAAGGCTGACATATATCCCGAAATTCAAATTGGTATAGTATTATGAGATGCTGACATCTATCCATGCAAATATTGTATCACCGATATAGTATGATACAGGCTCCCGAAACTCCATCTAACAGGGTATATCAAAAAAATGCAGTTCCCTATATGCGACAGGGAGATGCGACAAGAAACCGAAAATGAAAATGAAAAAGAACCAAAAAACCGATATATCAAGAAGAAGAAGAAGAAGAAGCAGCAAGATCAACCCAATCGACCGTCGAAATCCGCGAAGCAGGATCCTTAACAACAGCCGGCTTAACAAGCCCCTCGACAAACCCATTCCGAGGAACACGATGCCCACTCGACCCAGACCGCGTAAGATCAACAATCTGATGCCCCTGCCTAGCCATGGCAAGCCGCTGCATGTTACTCGTACCGGGATATAACAACAAATCGCCGGTAGCAGCAGCAAGCAGCGTAGCCGCAAGCGAAAACACATCCGACGCAGGCGTCGGGGCAATATCACCCGAGGTCAACGAAGCCAACATCTCGGGCGCGGTAAACGGTGGTGTAAACGCGGACATGGACGCGCGCGTTGTATCAAGCGGGATAGCGGGATCATTGGGGATTTCGACGGCGGACGAGAAATCCGCGAATAAGGGCTCGAATGGGAATGCGCTGGTACTCTCGTTTGCGTCGACTGGGCGCAGGAGGATATTATGTGGCTTGATATCGCCATGCACCATCCCCGCGGCTTGGTGCAACCAGTTCAAGCCTGAGATTAGCTTGCGGGCTAGATCTGTGTACGAGGCTGGACCTTGGACGGGGTCGAACATTGTCGGCGTGGCTGGTTGGCGGGAGCGAGCGATGTCGGCTTGGTCTTCTATGTAGGTTGATAGGGCCAGCGGGATCGCGGACATAACCAGGCCGCCTAGGTCTTTGTGTTGGCCGTGGAAGGGTACGATGTAGGGTTCGTGGCCCGCGGTGAGGGTGAGGCGGGTTAGAGTTAGGGCTTCGGCTTCCAGGACTGGGCGGGCATCGCGCCGCACGGGTGCCTTTACGGCTAGAATGCGGGTTGTTGAGACTGGGGAGCTTGGGGAGCTTGGGGGTGTTGATGGGTTGCTGGTGCTGGTGCTGGCGCTGGGTTTGGCGCTTGATGTTGAGCGCGCTTTGTATACTATGCTCCAGGCGCCACGGCCGAATTCGATAGGGCGATTGTCCCCGTTGTGGATGATTTCGAGATCGTTGGTGAAGTATAGTGGGGTGCTGACATTGGGTTTGGGAGCAGAGAGGGATTGAGGTGGCTGAATGTCCTGGAATGATCTTTGGCGACTCTCTTTTGCTATTGGGGTGACGGGCGGCGTAAGACTTGATGTCGGGATTTGTGCAAGGCGCGTCGGCTCTGATGTCTGCAGCGACAGCTGGTATGGGGGATTCGCCATTGCTTTGTATGCGCAATGGGGGAGCGATATGGGGAATTTCAGACGAGCAGAGACCAGGTTTATATGGGGCTCGGAGGAAGGCCCGAGACAGGCCAAGGATTCAAGTCAAATAGCTCTGATATCGGCGCCACTCGTAAAGAGATAACCTCACAATCCACGGTTGGGGAAGACGACTATGACGGGGTGGCGATTTTTGGCGTAAGACTAGCCACTGCACACCCTAATATATGGAGTTCGAAGGGCTCTACACCTTGAACTCGGCCTCGAAAGATTCAGCATAAAAGACTCGAAAGAGAAGAGAAAGACTACAAAGGCGCACAAAGCGCTTTGCGCTTTGTGTTGAGGGCTATGGGGCCGAAAGCAAACAAAAAAGCAAGGCAAAGGGAAAAAAGTAAAAAAAAAAAAAAAAGGGAAAAAGAGCCCACTCCGGTCTCGACCAAAAGGAAATGAATACGACAGGAACAAATACTACGGTGTCGACGCTAAAGGAAAACGGAAATTGGCTCTCGGAAGGGTTCGCGCTGATCGGGGTCCACCGTTCTCTAGATAGATAGGGATTTCTTACATGTAAGATAATTATATTTTAGAGTCAGATTATAGATTAGCGTTAACTTATAGATTAGAGACTACATGTATAGTAATCTCATATCTCACTCTTTTAGTGGTCTAGGAGTATACTAATTGCTGCATGGCAAAGTGGGCTTCACCCAATGCAGCCATCCCGAGGGCCCACCGCATGCGTCCCCAACGGCTGTCATCGCTTATCTTGGTGGTTTGTTTGTCTAAGTTAAGTTATTTCTGAGTCACATACTTGTTTCTTTAAGTGAACTACTATAACTTACTATACAACTGTCAAGTATACAAATCCACTATACAAATCCAAGTCATATGGCCTCGTATTCACCTACACCATATACATTCCATAGGATCTTCACAACCAATCCCTCAGCCTCGTGCCCTGAACCCGGTCCGGGAAAGTTACCCGATTGGTCTCTATTATCTATACATCTATATTCACATATAATACATGGCTATAATACAGTTACTGCACTTTTAGTGCAGTTGGATGTTTTCAATTCCGGATTGGAATGAGGTCAGTGTCCCACCCAACATGCGGTTGAACTGCAATGTGCTTGTCCTAGGTGAGCTTTTCTCGAACTCAACCATAATCTCAAATAGTGTGGTGGTAGAAAGTGATCGCACTCGGACACCACTCAAGTCATAGTCCAAGTTGGCCTGGTAGCTGAACGCCGGATCTGCAGAAGGATCTGGCAAGGCCATTGGCCCACAGCCAGGCTTCAGTCGCCGGTCCGCAAAGGCCGTGAGACTGGGAATGGCCTGGACGATTTCGTTGATGCTCCGCCCCGGGAGAAGTATGGAAAGCAGTTCGCTGACCGACATGCTGACACTGGGGTGGAAAGGAGCACTCAGGGCCTGGAACCGAGAGAGAAATTCGGTAGTGTCTACGTTCGGCATTTCGGAAATCTTCTGCACCACAGGAGGGTTAGGCTGTGCTTCAAAGTAGACGACGCCACGCGGGTAGTCGTGAGGATAAACATTCGATGGGGGGATAAACAGGGGCTCAAACGGTCGTCGTTCCCAAAGCAATACGGAATTGTCGAAATTGTTGGATAGAGCAACATTGCGGGCGTCATCCATCACTCTGTCATAATACCTCTTTTTCACGAAGTGTATCTCGGAGATTTCAGCGTTCTGGATGGATTGCAGAGACACAATATCACCTTCCAAGCCTTTCAATCTCTCGGGGGTTTCATTGACATCTGCTGCTGCACGGGCAAACTTTCGTGTAAGTTCGTCAATCTCAAGCTGGCGGTTGGCAAATTTCAGGCGGTAATAGGCACTTGTGTTCTCTCTGTCTAATGTGGTGATAGCCGCGTTTCGTGCTTTGATTTTCGCTGGATTTGCTTTCTTTTTATCCGGCCTCTCTCCTAAAATCAGGTCTCCTTTTGCGATATCATCCAGTAAAGGCTTATGGGACTCAAGAAGTCGTCTGTGGATGTAAGGCTGGGTATCCTTTCTTCTCGAGGCACGACCAAGGGCACGCTCAGGGGTGGGTGGCACATATTCAAGGGGAGGTAACTGTCGATCTGGCGGCGTGACAATGCCCTGTGCCGCGGCTCTTTCGCTGACTCGTTCTCTGTTTTTGACGGTTTCGTTGTAATCTCGCCAAGTATACTGTGGCTCAGGCATCTCCGGCCTCGCGAGCTCCACGCAGTGCAAGGCCAAAGTCTCCGTCAACAATCCAGACCGCTTTCGCTCTGCAATTGCTCGCGGGAGAACAGTCGTAATCTCAGTGTGGGGAAGTTGTGCAATGATTCGGACAGACCCGTAGCTATGCAAATCATGTTTTTGCAAACATGTTTCCAAGAACTTAATCCACCAGCGCCCCGGTGTCATATGATCCTTGCCAGAAGATGCCTGGGGCGGGTTGGCCAAGACGAGGAGCGTATCATTTCGTGGTAGACCCGCAGAGCTTTGCGAGGGTAGGCTTTGCTCTGGAAAGTTTTCTTTTATTACAGCACCCCAATCGATTTTTGTCTTATGCAGCCCGGCACTTGGATAGATATCCATAGGAAGGAGCTTGTAGCAGGGTTTGCTCTCTGTTAAGGGATGAAGAAATTCACCCCAGATGTCGAGGTCTGGCTCAACAAGCACATGGCGGCGAGGTCGTAGGAAGTCATTGATTTTGGATGACCACAAGCCGCTACCAGGCCACAGGTCAAGGATATCCACTGGGGTGGTTTGACGAAGATAGGGCGCTACACGTTGAACAATTTGGTCTGTGAAACGCGTGAGCATCTTTCACATGACACAAGCTTCAGGACAAAGGCTTACCACATAAGGATTCATTCACAATCTCACTCCTAAGTATGACTCGACGCTGGGCTTTCTTCTTCTGCGTAAGGTCACGGATCCGTTGGGTCAAAGGATGGGCTGGGTTCGTCTTCCATCTGTTCCTCGATGCAAGTACCGGGTGTAGTGTTCTGTAGATTCTGTTATCCATTCTGTGAATGGATACCGGAAATTATCTATGTCATGAAGGGTATAGCGAAGAGAAGGTGTGGCGCATTGAAGTCCAAGTAGTTGCAGTTGCAAGAGTTGCAGCTGCTTTTTTTGTCGGAGCGGAGAGACCAAGCTTCCCGATCACCTCCCCACCACCTTTCCTCCCCATTCACGTCTAGATGCGGCCCCCCCTACTACAATTGCCGCTGGTCTTCGCGCCAGGTTTCGGAGATCGTTTCTCCATGCCTTTTGAGGCTTGACGGGTATCTTAACTTTGTCATCGCGATGGCTTCCCACGTCGGCACCGGAGGTACTCCGCCTCAGAGTGTGGAGAGCATCACTCGCATCGCCCAAAACTACGAGTACAACTCATCCGTACGTTTGCGGTACTGGCTGAGGACGGCGGCAACGATCCTACGAGAGGTTGGTTGCTTTTGCTTACACCCGGTCTGGTTCATGCCTAACTTGGTTCCCCTAGGCACACATCTACGAATCCGAAGGACACGACGAACAAGCATACCTTCTCCTCTTCCGACACGCCCAGCTGATCTTAGTCCATCTTTCGAAGCATCCGGATACAGCAAAGTATGAAGAAGACCGCAAAGCTTTGGTGGCCGCCGAGAAAGAAGTGGAGAAGAACCTCAGCAAGCTGGAGATTTTAAGACCTCGGATCAATAAGCGATATGAGCGCTACACTCAGTTGATGCGCGAGCGTCAATCTCGCAAATTGCCAACTCAATCCAAACTCAATAATGAGCCGCGAGAGCAAGTCACAGACCCCGCCCTGGCCGGTGTCGCCGAGCCCTTGGAAGCCGGCGAGAATCGGGACCTTGCCGTTCAGCTTGCCCAGCATGAGCTCAGTCGGCGTGCCACTGTCCGGGGGAGTAAAAGCGCATCAGCAGAAGAACTAGAGGCTCGTCGTACAGCCGGTATGTGGGGTGATTGGGAAGTTGCATCGAAGCCAGATACTCGATCAGGCGACCAAGACTTGAGCCGACGGATTCAGAACATCAGGTCCAACATCGATCACACGCATCAGCCCACTTATGGCCAGCGCGCCAAAGATTCAACGAGCGGGGTTTCGTCAGTCTACAAATATCCAAGTGTGCCGCGTCAGAAGCCTCTGGAGCCCACTGTATCTCCAGGCCAGATCGCCATCCTCGATAAGAACGTAGAACGCCATGCGGCCCCTATCCGACCTCCGAAGGAGCACATTGAGCCCAGCAGGGCCTCAATTATTGACACAAATGCACCGCCAAAGCCATTAAAAGTGGCACCAACCCCACCACCCCCCGAGAAGTTTCGAGCAGAGGAAACCAGCACCAAGCGGTCTGATCTCGATCCATCCAGTTACACCTTCAAACCTTCCGCTTATCTGGAAAATGGCACTCCCTTGCGCTCCGTCTTCCTGCCAGCCGACCTCCGAAGTCGCTTCTTATCCCTGGCTGCTCCCAACACCCGCAGTAACCTAGAGACATGCGGAGTTCTCTGTGGTACTCTCGTCTCTAACGCACTGTTCATATCTAAAGTGGTGATTCCAGAGCAAACCTCCACATCGGACACCTGCGAAACGGTGAACGAGTCTGCTCTCTTCGACTACTGTGACTCGGAGGACCTGATGGTCCTCGGATGGATCCACACGCATCCATCGCAGACCTGTTTTATGAGCTCCCGCGACCTACACACACATTGCGGCTACCAAGTCATGCTTCCGGAGAGCATCGCTATCGTGTGCGCTCCAAGCAAAGATCCGGACTGGGGAGTGTTTCGTCTGACTGACCCGCCGGGACTCAAGACTGTTTTGAGCTGCACGCAGACCGGTCTATTCCATCCACATGCGGAGGAGAACATCTACACTGGTGCTTTACGACCGGGGCATGTGTTCGAGGTTAATGGACTCGAGTTCGAGACAGTAGATCTGCGTCCTTAGCACGAAGATATGATTTCTTTATATGGCTCTTCTGATACAACGCCATTATGATACCAATATTGTTTGCATTGAAATGATTTTTGACGTGGCGAGACCTGCTAAACAGCCTGTTGTCTAGAAACCTGGGCGTTTGGTCCCTTGACATAGGTAGCATTGTTGCATCGAGTTTGATCTCAATTCAATTCTTTTTCAAAGTACAAAGTACTCTCCAGCTCGTAATGTAGTGATTTAAGATTACATTTGAAAGTTCGTGGAGAAATATGCTTAAGTTGACATGGGCAAGGCTTAACAGACCTAGAACAAAAATGGCTTGCGTCAAGACGAGGGTCAAATATACACTCTAAAGCTACGATGATTCCCTGCAAGCATATACATGTAACAATCCGTGAACATAAGAGGGTAAGCTACAGAAGGCGAAGCCTGACGTGGCTCCCCCACAGATAAGTGATAGCGGGTTTCATCACCTCCGCATACCTCTCCCTTCTCTTTCTTCTCTCTTCTTTCCCTTCTTTCTCGCTAGGCTCAGCCAAAGCTCTTTTGCCAGCAATTGACTTAGAATCTCCGCATGTCGTCTTCATCCCAGCCAGATCTCTCTCCCGACCCTCCAATCCCCTCCTCCTCCTCCTCGAGATCAAGGTCTCGCACTCCGACGCAAACAACACCCGCCTACCAATCCGCCGCCTCCTACTTCTCCTACCCAGTCAGCCACGTTGTTTCAGGCCTCTACCGTCGCATAACTGAACCAGAAATAGCCAAAGACATGCCATCGGCGCTCCCATGGTCGAGGTCGTCCTCCTCATCGGAGGTCTTCACGCCGCGCCGAACCGCCTCGCCCTTTCAGCCTCCGCCACTCACACCTCTCACCCTCAGCATCCCAAAAGGCGTCGACCTACTCCAGCAACAGCTCCTAACACGTGCCCTCGCCGAAGAAATCCGCCTCCTCGTCCCCCCACGCCTCCAACTAGCCGAGACCTGGCATCTCGCCTACAGCCTCGACCGCGACGGCGCCTCCCTCTCCACCCTCTACGAGAACTGCGCTGAGTTCTCACACCGCAGCCCGCGGGCGGGCTACGTCCTCGTAATTCGCGACTCCTCACCCTCAAGCTCCGTCTTCGGTGCCTACATGACCGACCATCCACACCCAGACTCACAATTCTTCGGCACGGGAGAGTGCTTCCTCTGGCGCTCTAGTGTACTCCCACCTCCAGCGAGCTTCCCTCTCGCGCTACCGGGAGAAGGTCCTCAATCGGAAGAAGCGCTTGAGCGCGCCGGCCTTCCGCCTCCGCCTTCTGCGGATACCACTAATGCTGCCCGCTGGAGTACGCTGCGCAATGATCCCCAGGCGAAATTGAAATCTCCTCGATCGGAGTCGCCCTCTCACAATCTTAATGTCAATATTAAAACCAATCTGGCTGCTGCTAGTGGTGGTGTCCTTGCGCCTCCTTCGCCTTCTTCTATTCCTTCGCGCAGTGGTGCTAGCACCCCTGAGCGCATTCGCTTCAAGGCTTTCCCGTATAGTGGCGTTAATGACTATATGATGTTCTGTGAAACTGGATTTCTCAGTCTGGGAGGCGGGTAAGTAATTTTCATTGTGGATTTGTTGGTACTGTTAGCTAATATCGGAGTAGTGATGGTCACTACGGATTGTGGGTTGACCAAAGCCTTGAAAAGGGTGTTAGCGCTTCCTGCCAAACTTTCGGTAATGAACCTCTCTCTGACGAGGGTGTCAAGTTTGATATTCTTGGAGTCGAGGTGTGGTATGTCGGCTCGTAAACAGCTGGATTCATGAAGCATGGCATATGTAGAAATGGCCTACGCAAACATTGGCGGAACCGATACTCGGACGGTGCATCACACAAAAGCCGAAAGTAATTGCTTTTGGCATTCTCTGGACTAGAGTACTGCAAAGGAAGTGGGTTCGAGCGTTGGAGATATTTGGCATATTTGGTTCAACTGCACATCAAATACCCGGACGACGATGTGATGCTGGATCTCCCGCATTGTTGTTCCTCGTCAATCATTTACCTATAATCTACTGGTTTCATGTTGCGCTTGGATATTCATCAGACAACACCATGCAGTCGTGATATAATCCATCATTAATCACCTCAAACCTATAAATCTCTAACACAGTCCATGCGCAGCCTGTTCTTCAGCAATGCCACCCAGACACTTAGCAACCTTCTCCCTCTCTTTCAATGACCGAAGTCAAGCAGTGTATCGGGGATATTTCGCCGGCTTTTCAGCTCGGTTCAACTCACGCAGCAGGCCTTCACCGACAACAGCCCAGGTAACGAAAGACGAATCGGCGTATGTGCATTTACCACCGACTAGTCAGCCCGTGCTATTTCTCATCAAACCCTCCTCCAGGACACCGGTCACTCGTAGAACCTCATTGACATACCGCTCCGTTGCTGATGGGAGCTTCTCGGGGTGGAAGCGCGCAAACCAGGTTGCCTGGCCGAAGTAGAGCTCTTGGCCTATTGTATGAGGTTAGCTCTAGCTTGCAATTTGTGTACTCGGGAAGATCGGTACCTGGTGATTGAAAGGCCAGCCACTGGTGACGCTGAACCATCAGAGATTTTGGCAGCCAGCACCAAGAGCTTCAGTGAGATGCTCTTTCACCGGCTCAGAAACCCAGACTATCGATGCAGTGAGGCAATTGGACACCCCAGAAGAAAGAAATGAGGCAGAAAGCCACACCCTGGAGAATAATGTGCTACAAGAGGAACGCAGTACACTGAGCCTCGATAAGGTAGATGAGTTGCAGCGACTATAAGTAGCTAGATCCTTTCCCATAGAATAAAACAATCATCACACTTGTACCTGAATCCAAGGTTTCAACTATCCATTCTCCTTGTTTCTCCTTGTGTTTAGGTAGATAAGCATATCTCTATCTCTCTCATGTCCCAGATCTTCTTCCTTTCTCCATATCTCCATATCTCAATACATTCAGCATCTTTATGCCATATGGTTTCAGCATAGCCCCCAGACCTCGGTCATATAAACTTTTTTATATTGATCCTCATCAGATAATGACCTAGTCATGGACGGCAAAATGGAAGTATGAGAATCTAAACTCCCTGAATGAAGACCATTTCATATAGATCAAATAAATATCCATTAACTAATGAAATATAAATTGCAAAGAAATATTTGCTTGTTTTCCTTGTGCCACTGAAGCTCGACTTTGAGGCAGCTAATTTTGTATGCCAAATCTTTATCATTTACCTCAGATCCGGCGAGGATAATAACTTTCGAAGGGGCGACGAGCTTAGCTAAGCATGTAAAGGGCGCACGCCTAATATCTGTCAAACCAACGGGGGCGTAATCTTCCCCCCTGGGGAAATAGGCTTTCGCAGTCAAACGCCGATCACTCTTGAATCCTCGATGGTAAAATGATTAATGCATTGTGGCAAATAGCTATAAAACACCCCAATGGCCTGTGAAGAACACTCCTGTTGACTCTCACAGCTTCTATCCCCATTATTGCCTCCACTATTCTTTGAGACCCTTACACTAAGATTCACAACGAACATGAGCCTTGGCAAAGAAGAAAAGAATTGAGCATGTATCCAAGGATTATAGAGCATGTTGAACCTTTAGCTTATGTGAAAGATCAGTCCAACCTCAGCAGCATTGAGGCAACAGCTGCCTCCAAGACAACTTGGCTGATCCCCATTGTCGTTACCATCGGCGGTCCCTTATTTGGTATGTTATCTATGCAACCGTGAGAGATGAGTGGCTAACGAGGTGTTATCTAGGCTACGACACGGGCTATATCTCCGCCGTTCTAGTCACAATTGAATCATCTCTCGGCCATGTCCTTACCTCGAGTGAACAGGAAACGGCGACATCCTTCACAAGTGGCGGCGCTCTGGCTGGCGCAGTAGGAGCTGGTCTCACTGCTGATCGATTTGGTCGTCGTTAGCCCATCTAGCGCGCCTGCCTGGTATTCGTGATTGGAACTATCCTCCAGACATGCGCCTTTTCTGTCGGCCAATTTTCGAAAAACACCGATCATGTTCCTCAAGCGACTAACAATCAATAGAAGGTAGATGCAGTCACCCATATACGGTATCAGTTGCGCGTACCAGTGATTATAGAATTTGTGCTAGGAATCGACTATAACCATATCCATTTGCGGACCGATTCCAGGCGTTTGTAATGCTGCATTAAGTCTGTCAAGGTAGTAGTCCACACCGCGAAGACCAAAGCGATAGGGCAGGTTTAAACATAAAACCCGGTGAGAAACTAGGTATGAGCTACAATCCTAGCTAGTATAGTGAAATTTATTTTTCCCTTTCTCTCTGATGACAGAGCTTGCAACATGGAAGCCTAATCCGCAAGTCAAGTGCGATCTCTTGGAGTCGCCTTACGGCGAGCCATCGCAGCCACATCTGAACCGGGAGGATTGAAATCCACGAAGCCATGCTTCAAGTATAGCGGTGCGCCCTCCTTGCTGGCATCCACGTAGGCCGCAACGCCATCCTTATCCGCCAGGTCGCAGCCCCACTGGACAAGCATAGAGCCAGCTCCGCGCCGTTGGTAATCAGGATGAGTGCCAAGTGTATCCAGGTCTTTTTTTGTTCGGTTTCGGGTCAGTAACAATGTCTTCCTTTGTGAATTTTAAAGGGGTCCCATTCATACAGTAATGTTTCTCATCGCCCATGACGCGTTTCCTCGCCTGCTCCAATTCTGCAATGAAATCCTCGCATTCCTGGTAAGGCGAGTCTGCATGCCAATGCGGAAAGCGACGACCTCGCTCATCTGGCATGGCCAGGTCCCATTTGCCAAAGGCAACTAGTCGCGGTCGGCCTTGCTCATCTTTCGACTCGGTATCGACTACTCGCAGGTATCTGCAGTGGGACTTCTGGATGTCCTCCAGGTGCCAATCCCGGTGCCATTGGTGCATACCGGGGGTGTTAGGGAAAAGTTGCCCGATCACCGGCTGTGTGAAGGAAGCGAACCATAATTCGGTGATGGCGGGAACGTCTTCCGGTGTTGCTGGTTCTAGCACGAGAGAATTGGTTGTTGTTCCCATATCGGAATTGGTTGTATACGCGTTCAAGTGTCTAGCGAAGGATATTGATATTGACTAGGGGTTCGCACCAGGGCAGATTCAAGAAATGGGGCTATTTCCGTTGAAACATAATCCCGCAGTGAGAATAAAATCCGCTTAATGGTTGCTGGGGGGCATTGAGATGCATTTCAGGGGGCGGCTTGAGGAGCCGGGGGGTTGCATAGTACCTTCGAAGGAAGAGGTGTGAGCCGATAAGAGTTGCAATGGCTCCCTGCACATGTGGATTTATAATCCCTTCGACGACAAGGATAAATTCAAAAATGCCGCATATAACGAGAGGCCCAACCACTTGCATTGGCCAGTAGGATGAGGAGTTATGCTTTGGCCCCCAGCAGCCCCATGTCTCATCATACGATGCGCTCGATCATTGCCAATGGGACCAGATCCGTCCCTAAGGTTGGTTTCAAAAGCGAAAAAAGCACGCTATCTATATTGGGAGCCATCGCGGGATGTGAAAAGCTTATTTATTTATCAAGTTAATTCGATGTAATTTCCATGATTCGGGAAGGCCGCCAAAGCAGGTCCATGTCGCGTCCAGCATTAATTTATAGCCATTGGCTAGGTTGGTCGGGCGACAACTTGCCTCCGTTGCTAGCCTGGGGGTGTGTCTCCTCCGACATTATGTGCGCCTGGCTCGACTGGCTGTCAACCTCCCAATCCTGCGTGACCAAAATCTGATCTCGTCGCATCGGCAAAGGGAAGCTTCCGTGGCTCTCCAACCTGATCTTGCGGTCGCGCGACTTGGACCGCCCTTGTGATTGCGAGCGCCTCTTGTAGCTCCAAGAGGTCGAATCTTCCACGCCATCAAGCTTGAGCCCGTTCGACCGCATCCAGGACAGGAAGGGGCTCAGTTGTCCCCAACAGGCCGTCACGATACTGAGGCACTGAATTATCACTTCGAAAATGGTAATTTCACACATCTGAAACGTTGGGTCGTTGGTTTTTCTGCCCTTCTTAAGAAAGGCGAGCTGGACGATCGTTGCGATCGTCACACTTTCGAGGGAAAGAGAATGAGTGAGTTTCGAGCTTGGAAGTATGGGGGAGAGAGAGCACTCCGTAGAGCCGGGTCACTCACAAGAGCCGCGGTAGGAAGATACCCGCAAAAGCCAGGCGTCGCCCCAGCGTCGTTTGGACTCTAGAAATCAGGAACATCGCCTGAGCGACAATCAAAAGGTCGGTGACGATGTTGGCGATAGCGATGAAGTAGCGCCAAGCTAACTAGATATGCCCCGACGAATCGTATTAGTATTCTCCGGATTCGGGGCGTAGGAAGTGATAGGGACAAAAGAAGACACCACCTACCAAGTTAAAGCATTGGCCGTTCTGGAAGTCCCAGGTACGGGGCAGAGAGCATTGGAATGCAGTCCCAAAGATCGCAACAACCGCCCAGGCATATACAATGGCCTCGACACCTCTGGCGAGCCATTTGTCTTTGGGGGACGGTGTAAGACTCCGGATAAACACGACCAGAGATAGTTTCGAGAACGTGAGGCTTAGGAGGTACAGAAGAGACCCCGCGAAAAGGTTCTGGCAATGAGCGCATTAACCTTGGTTCCAAAATAAAACAAGTGAACGATAGAATGCGGGAGATGCGTACTTTCATCACCTGTTCCATATCGGCGCTGGAGACATCTTTGAAATGCTTTCCATAACCGGATCCAACTGCCAGTGAAACAACAATACTCTGACCGATGCCGAGGACCAGAGACGCAATGATCAGGAGATCATCCGTGGTGAGCCTTTTGAACAGTCGAATTTTAGTTACCAGTCGAGCAGAGACACTAAAAATTATTGTAACCAAAAGAACCCACGTGGTGACATTGACCGCCGGGTCTTTGGTGTCACCTTTGAATCGTGTCCCCATTGAGCCAAAAATATATGAGGCAGAGGGGTGGGTTACTTGAAAAGAGAAAAAGACGGAAAGGAAACTATTAGAGAGTATAATCATGCTGAGGGAACATGCCTTAAGCTTTTTATTATATCGCTGTGCGATCTGGTAGTGCCGCGCATTTGATTTCCAGTGCCCAGAAAAGAGTGACCAGGATTCAAATCCCCTCTCAGCACGTATCAGTATACTATGTATATGAAGGACTCCGAAGGCGTTATGGTTCCTCTAGGGTTCCCAATCTCATGTGACGCTTGTTCCCTTCCCGTACCATCTCGAGCTCTATATATTTCTATATGTTTTGCCTGCTTTATCACTTGATCGGTGTTTTTTATTATTTTTTTTTTGTTTAATCTTTTTTTTTCAATCACAATCATCATTGTAAAAGGACATGTTAATATCGAGAAGTCTTATCAGGTTCAAGCTCCCCCTTTACTCGAAGGATTCGCCCCGAGGTCTAGCCCCCGGACTCTTGCATTAGTTCAAACCTCATTTTATTGTTGTCCTATGAGTAGCCACCGATATGTGGCGTACCTCAATTGGGTATAGTGCGCTTCCTGGGGGATCTGTCCCGCGTGTGATCGACATTGCCGTATAGCACATTATGGGCCCCAAACCTCCATGGGCCGTCGGGCAGAGGGCGGAGCGCGCCTGAGATTAAATTGCAACAAGCATATGCGTTAGCGTCATCTACTTGCATGCTTGCTATTATAGTCGATGTAACATACAAGGTACATCCATCTAGTCAAATCGGATACCCTTCCACCCGCATTCCGATACTCAGCCGACGGACTTTTCCCTCTATTTTTGTACTTTTAACCCAGCTGCATTCCTCGTATTTACCTTAGTGTTTATTTCCCACTTGTCCTTCCATTCAGTTTGTTCAAAAAACAGAAAAGCCATGGTGGCCCATGAATTGAAGAGCAATACTTCCGTCACCAGCAGGGGCGCGGGGCCGGTGGATCGTGATAATGCGCATCTCCAGCGGATGGGAAAGAAGCCAGTCCTTAAGGTATGCTACGTATCCTTCAATATCACAAATCTCACCTGGCCAGGCTATTGACACTTCCATCTAATCAGCGAAACTTCGGCATTCTATCGATCCTCGGCTTCAGCTGTACTATTCTGGGTACTTGGGAAGGCCTGCTTGGGTGAGTCGGTCGAATTCCGAATTTTCACGGAATCCATCGCTAATCGGTCGCCAGTACCTTCACTGGCCCTCTCACAAAGTGTGTTCGAACGGTCAACAACCTGCTGCCTTGCAACGTTCTCTAACAGATATCAGTGGCGGCTCCGGCGGTGCGATCTATGCCTACATATTCGGATGGGTTGGCTGTTTTGCCAATTTTATGGTCTTGTCGGAATTGGCCTCCATGTATGTTGCTCTCTCTTAATTGATCTAAGGCTAGAGTCAGAGCTAACAGTCAAATAGGGCGCCCACCGCAGGAGGCCAATACCACTGGGCTGCCATGCTTGCCCCGGGCAGATTTCAGAAGTTCCTGAGTTTCATTACAGGTTGATTTCCGCCTCATGGACAGACTTAAAACTATTCATTATCGCTGACACTTGAACTTGTAGGATGGTTTGCTGTTCTCGGCTGGCAGAGTGCCTTCGCCGCTTGTGCCTTTTTAACAGGAAAGATGATCCAGGGTGCCGCGATCGTAGGAAACAACCTATACAATGCTCTTCCTTGGGAAGGAACATTGATTGTCTGGGGTTCGCTCAGTCTCGCATTAGTCGTGAACTTGCTCGGCGGCAACTTGCTGCCTCGCATTGAGGCGATCATTTTGGTTGTGCATATTCTTGGGTTTTTCGGCATTATAATCCCCCTCGTCTATATGGCGGACCATAACACAAAGGAGCAGGTTTTTCTGTCTTTCCAAAATGGAGGAGGTTTTGCCACGCAAGGACTATCCTGGTTCGTTGGTATGACCAGTTGTGCGTTTGCCTTCGCTGGAGGTGATGCCGCCGTGCATGTAAGTTTCCTTGGAGTTACGCTTTCCTCTACAGGCTTCTGGCTAACAAATCCTTAAATAGATGTCTGAAGAGGTCGCAAATGCCTCGACCGTCATTCCCAACGCCCTTATGATTAGTGTCGGAATCAATGGCTGCCTCGGCTTTGGTATGATCATTGTTATGATGTTCTGCGCCGACTCCGACCTCGGTGGTAAGCTGGGGAAAATCACTGGATACAACTTTATGGGTATCTTCATGGAAGCAACAGACTCAGTGCCGGGTTCATTGACCATGTGCGCTATCGTTATCACTATTTATGTCTGTTCCCTCATGGGTCTACTGGCTGCGGCGTCTCGGCAGCTTTGGTCTTTCTCTCGAGATAGGGGTGTTCCCGGGTGGCGATGGTGGAATCAGGTAAATACTTCTCCATCAATCAGAAGTCTTGCAATGGTCTAACATTTGCTGTTTCAGGTTTCTTCCACGAAGCAGTTGCCTATTTTCGCCATCCTCCTTACAGTGACCGTCGCTGTGTTGCTTTCCCTGATTAACCTTGGTTCCGATACTGCTATGGAGGACATTGTGTCCATGGCAGTGTCGGGTATCTACCTCTCTTACCTCATGGTTTCTGTTTTGCTCTTTTACCGCCGCATCCGTGGCGACATCTCCCGATATAATGACAACGAGGATGATATTGTCAACGTGCCCGGTGCAAAGCTTGTCTGGGGACCGTTCCATTGCCCCGGCATCATTGGTACCGTGATCAATGGGTATGCGATCATCTACATCAGCATCGTCGTCTTTTTTAGCTTCTGGCCAAGTAAAATGGACCCAACAGTGGAGACGATGAACTGGAGCATTCTGGCAATCGGAGGCAGCGTCTTCCTTGCCATTATATACTACGTTGTGCGCGCCCGACACGTCTACAAGGGTCCTATTGTGGAAGTCTCCTTGTAGAGAGTTGCCACACGGGTCTATTGAGGAGACAGTTAATAGTCTATTAATAGCTTTTCAGAGAGGGTGACTAAATCAATGTTGTAAACGGTTCCACCACGGTATTTGGCCATGCTTGGAACAGTAGCACTCGTCAGTTCGGAGCTGGCATCATTTATTGCCTAACCGCTGTTGCTAAACCATTCGGTTGCCAGGAAGCCCCAATCAGCATTCCCAACAATCCGTGTGAATTTAAAGGATGTTGGTTCCTTTTGTAAGAGGAACCCATGCTCACTGAGCACCGAGCTCTGTTCAGTGATCAATAGTATATTTAAGTTTACGTGATGTTATGATGACTATGATTTTGGTAAAAAGGGAGCTTAAACCGGCGACCAGTGTAGCCATTTTCGGCAGCCGATTTACCGTCAATTAGTGTTGTGGTGTAATGCTGGTGATAGGTTCCACTAATCTGATAATGTATATCCACGGTAACTCTTAATGCTATCTCACCCTGTATATATATGTATCTGCAAGTTCCTTCTACTGGAGTCACTTTCTGTTGCTTTTTAGGTGTTCCTGGAATATCTATACATGTCGTTCCCTTGAGCCTCATCGTATCCACAACGCTAACTCGAAACTAACCCCGAGCCTCACTAGCCTCCATCTGAGCGCTTATATTCGCCAGCTTCGCCCTTTCACATGAAATGACTATAATAATGACTCATAACCCTTAACTGATTTCGCCTAGCAAGCGACTATCCTTTTATCCTTCCAAGGCTGTAGCGTTGACTCACGCGATGACACACCGTACAGGGAACTTGCCTTTTGGTACATAAGCTCTGGATTTCCCCAGCTATCTAGCAGCATAAAACTTCCTTCTTTTTCCAAGAGTCTTTAATCATGGAGAAACACGACTTTTTGATCATCGTGGACGCAACAGGCTCCATGAGGGAGTACCTTCGCTCCCTCAACGATTCGCTACCACAGATCATTTCCATATCTGCACTGACAGGGTGCTTTTCACGGATCGGTGTCCTCGCCTTTCGTGACTACGATTACACTGGGGATCAACTTCTCCACTGGTCAGGATGGCTGCATCAAAACTCAGACGAAGCCTCGCAAGAACCTCAGCCTGACCTAGTTAGCTTCGCTAAGCGCCTCGAAGCACTCGGAAATAGTGACACTGATGAGGCCCACAAGACAGCTCTCGCTAAGGCTTATGAGCTCATGCGTCCAGATGCGAAAACACTGGTTTTTCTTTACACTGATGCGCCTCCTCATCCCAACGTGGATGACACAGCTGGTACTCGCAATACCTCTCTGGAAAAAGCCGCATTGAGCCCGACATCATTCTCAAACTTTGGAAGTTCATTTCAAGATTGGGTATCTGCGAGCAAACTCCTTCGAGACGGACAAAAGCCGGCCCAGGTCTTCACTATCCTCGACGGTTTCGTGGGAGGAGAGGAGTCTGGCTGGCATACCTACCTATGCCACATGACCGGCGGTGCCTGTATTGTTTTGAATCGGTGGCAAGACCCCTCAAAATTGACAGTAGATCTACTTCTAGCGTGGATGGGGGTAGAAAAAGCTCCCTCCACAAGCTCAGCCATCGAAGAAGATATCCCTGCTAAGTTGTTGTCCTATTATTCCGTCGACGACATCGACGACATTCACAACGAGAAGGATGTGAGAGCAATGTCTTTCTTCTCGCAGACCCAGGAAGATACCTGTGGAAACAATATCAGGGCTACCAGCTTGACTGCCGACATCCTCAAGAGGCGAATTCCGAAGAAGACGATTCCTGTCCTAGATTTCGCAAAACGCTGGAACACAGATGCCCAATACAAAGATCCTGTCGCCAAGTGTTTGACGCAAATCATAAACGACAATGTCCAGGCAATGGCACTCAACCCTGTTTTCGGAACTCTGTGGAGAGCGGTATGCAATGATAGGGACCATGGACATCGCGAAGAACTCTTGATTGCGTTTAGCCGTAGCCTGGAAAAATTGACAGACAGCAGCCAACGGGAGAAGATGAAGAAATGGTTGGATGAATCCTACGACTTCGCCCAAGACATCATGTTGGATATCAACAATGTCTCTGAAGAAGACAAGTATCCTTGCGTGTTTCTCGATCCAACTCTGAGCTTCGGGCATACAAATACTGGCTCGAAAGATAGCCCCAATTCTACATCTAGCCTGACCCGCGCTGATCTTTTGGAAATTGGTCGATCTTGCAATGCCCATATTCTACGCCGCATAGGAACTATCCTTACCCAGCTGACTGTTGTGGAATCGGCAAAAGATCTGCCGGAGCATATCGCCAGCACTGGAAATGAACAGGTGATGAGAATCCCGCTAGCGCTCGCAACACAGAAATACCAAAATCGGTTCTGGAAATATCTATTTCACCTCATCGTGCCCGGCACAAAGCTTTCTGCTCGTCCTGCTGCTCTTGTCGCTGCTCTCAGTCTTCGCATGGGGGTAAAGCCACTTGCAGAAATGGCAACGCGGGAACTTCTCGGCTTCAAAGACAAGTGGAATGACATTTCGACTCCTGAAAATTGGAATGTCGGATGCTTGACACTTCTCGTCGATGCCGATGAAGCACACCACAGACAGCAAGCAGAGGCCCTGGACAAGAATGAAGCAGTTATGAGCGAGTCCAGGCTCTTGAATCCCAACGACAGAGTATTATTTGAGCGTCTTATTGCCTTCAAGCTACTTGAAACGAACCTCAACACTCCACTCAATGCCCAAATAGCCTGGACCCCAGACAAGTCGAGCGCACCCATCGGACCGCTGGTGACATGTCGCCTGTGCAAGTTTCCTCGTTCTGTCACTATAATGGGTGAAAATAGCACGTGTGGCCTCTGCATTTGTGTGCGGGATGAAGATACGAAGGCCCGCATAGATATAGGAGTTTCACACGATGTGACTCCCACTTCCAATGCAACTTGGGTAGAATGTAGGACAGTGTCCTGCAAGGCCCAGTACATTGTTTACGTCGTCAACGCACTGAATGTCGGTCCAAAATGCCACTACTGTCGAAGCCAAACTCCGACTGCTGCCCCCACTGTCAAGTGCAGCCGTTGCCTGAACCACATGATCTGGCCCAAAGAATACAGACCTTCCTCATTCAACGAGTCAGAGTTCACTTGTCCCCATTGCACAGCAGGCCACGAGCCAACGACAGAAATCGAAGTAACCGCGAACCAACTGGAAGCCGAGAACACACTATCCTGGCTAGCACAGGACACAGAAAGACCAAATGAAAGGGCCTTCCAGACCACCTCCGTCTTCCAAACCATATCTACAATGGGCGCCGACGGCTTCCTCACGAGAATAACCCTCTTCCCGACCCAAGACACCAAACTAACCTACAACGGCAAACCGATCCACAACTCCCCCGACCTAATAACAGCCCTCCAAAACCTCGTGGCAAAGCGCAAAACAATCAAAACAGATTGTTCCCTCTGCTTCTCCTCTTTCAAAGCAGGAACCCTAACCCGAGCCTGCGGACGCCGCGGCTGCCACCAGCAGATCTGCACATCCTGTCTATCAGGCTGGTACGGTCTCAACTCCGCGGGGTGTATTATCAACACGGCGGCACTAGCCTGTCCCTTCTGCCGACGACACCCTGCTCCCCAGAGACTAGCGAAGCATGGTATGGGTATCCAGGCGGTTAAGGATCTGACACTTGCCGTTCGGGATAAAGGGTCTTTGATCTATGCGTGGTGTCGGGGATGTCATACAGCCAAGGAGCTTATGGAGCGGAGCTGTGCCCGTGGAGCGCCGCCTGAGCTTAGTAATTGGGCTTGTGAGGAGTGTCACGGGGGATGGGATAGGGCAAGGATAGATGAGGAGAGGAGGGGGGCCGGGGCGACGGTTGAGGCGACGATGGTTGACACTATTAAGCCTTGTCCGAAGTGTGGGACTATGACGCTGAGGATATCAGGTTGTGGGCATATCAAGTGTTCGGTGGAGGGGTGTGGGGTTGACTGGTGCTACTTCTGTGGAAAGGAGTTTTCGGATGATGAGATTTACAAGCATATGAGTGAGGAGCATGGTGGCTTCTTTGGTGGGGAGTTTGAGATGGAGGATGAGTGGGATGAGGAGGAGTGGGATGAAGCTAATTGAAGTATTGGCTCTAGGAAGTTGCTAGTGTTGCTTTATTCTTTAAATGAATTAACTACTTAAACTATCTAGTTATCTAAGCAAAACGAAATCTCAGTCTGACCTGGTCACCAATTCTCGGTTTAAACTTGATGTTCCTAAGAATGGCACGCGAGACATAGGGAAGAAGAGTAACGGGGTTCTTGACCCAAGGATTTCATTAAGGGGAGAACCGAAAATAGGGTAGATTCCGTAGACGGAGAAGAAAATATCAGGGAAAAGGAAAAACATAAAACATCATGGGGTATGGGTAGTGGTACAACAATAGAAAGCAATTCAGTAGCCCGTGAGATAAAGAGGGTAAAGACTAGTAGGGGGAGTTGACGATGTCGTCTCTGCCAAGGCGACTGCCCCAGCCGCGTCCACGCTTAGGCGTAGCAGGGCCAGCAATGGACTCACGGGTGGGTTTCTGGAAGGTACGCTTAGCAACCATGTTGACCTCGTTTGGCAGGGCGACAATGACGTTCTTGTCGGAACCGAATCTGAAGTTGTCGGCCATGACATTCTCGCCATAGCGCTTGATGGTGTATGGATCCTTGCGGCCTGCAACAACCTTCTTCATGTTCCAAGTGATGATAAAGGGACCAGTGGCGGTGATGATGGATGTTTCAGTAGAATCGATACCGGTATTGAAGCGGGCTGGGGTGAACGACAGAGGCTGCTTGGTTTCGTGCTGGAACTGGGCGACGTGTGCGGGCTGCAGACCCAGACGGCGGGGCTGAGGCTTCGAATCCTTGGCGAAAGCACGCTCAAATCCGAGTTTGCCCTCATTCTTACCCTCCTTCTGCAATGAATCAATCAGAAGCAGGTAAGTGCGACAAGTTGCCAGTACCCAGCGTCCGTCGGCA